AATAGTCTTTATAAATAACTATCCTTGCTATAGATACTGTGTTGAAAACAAAAGGAGGATAAAAGGATGAAAGCTATAATAAATGTTAATAAAAAGCTATCACAAATCAATTTTTCTTCATTAGTATATGTATTTAAGTGATGCTTAGAAAGGAATTCATTTAATTAAAAAAAATCGACTCACTATAGCGTATACATATGTTTATAGAATCTGTTTTGAACCAAGAACTTGAACATAATGTATCTTGGTACAAAGGAGGGAATTTTAAAAGCCCCCGGACATAATACGGGCATACACGCCAAGTACAAGTTTATTTGGCAACATCGTGCAAAAGAAACTAGGTATATTCACTCCAAAGGACTACGCTCAAAACAGGTTGACTTAACATGTATAGGAATCTATAGTAAACATACGTATTGCTAGACTAAAAATACTTTAAATTTTAATGTTTTATAACTATATAACCTCTTTGAATTAAAAAGTTATCTTTTTTTACATGTTTATGTCAAAGTTCAATTTGTATCATACCAGTTCGAAGTAATTTCCATTTTAATTATGCTAAACTCAAATCCAATTTTAATCCGAACTAAACACATTCTTATAAGAAAATAAAATTAATAAATTGGTACTTACTTAAAATCAGTTATACTTAAAACGACGAGCCCGCTGAATCGAAAAACACTCACTCACAAGTAGACAGCGTTGAAAAAGTTAAGAAATTGCATTCAGGATATACGTAGTAATCAAATTCAATAAAGTGATTTAACTTTACACAAACACCAAAAGGAAATAATAACAAATTGGTTCAATTTAAACAAACGATTCTAAGTTACCACTATATCTTGGCACGTATAAATACGTATATATAACAATAGTCAGTTAGCAATAAGAACTTCGTGGACCGATAAAGTGGACACAATCGCACACTACGACGTCTCGAAACGAATAAGTGGGCCGGCATAGTTGACGCGAGCGTTTCACTTACTTTTTAATTTTTACACGGCTGCATGTTTGAATAAAACAACTTTTATGTAAGCAATTTTTTTCTATATAGGTGATAATGATATATTTACAGTATATTCTATATACATATTTAAATTAATATACCATACCTATAGGCTATATTTACTTACTTCAACTTTTGTTTGCCTTAACTTCAGCTTGACAATCAGCACAATTTATTTAAAGCAAAATATTTCATTCTAAATGTAAGTTATTATCTATCAGTATCTAAACATTTTCATATATTTTATGTTATACAGTTATAAAATATGCTCTTAAAAATCTTTGTTTACAATTTATCATACTCGTGACTCAATTAATAGTGGATATCATTAACCTATAGTTTACTTATAAAAAAATCATTGTTCCAGTAAAATATTTTACTCGCAAATCACAATCAAATATTTTTTTCATAAGTGTTATCCCTTTAAAAAAATATTTTTATTTCCCTAATACTAATGTGTAATTTGGAAAGCCATACCCTTAGTTTGCACTAAGTAGACAATCAACGCCTAAAGTGATATCGTATTAATTAATAAAACAAAACAAACATAAAAATTGTGTTAAAAAATTTAAATCGACGTCATAACGCTGAAAATTTGTATTAACAAATCAATAAGTCCAAAGTCATACATGAATTGATAATTTTATTAATTATAAATCAATTAATATCAAATATGTAAAAAGAAAATTCTATATCCGACCTGTTTTCCTCGTTTGTCAAATGGTTCTCAAGGCCAATACAAGTAATAAAAAACACCGTAATATAAAAAATCATCACAATACATAAGTCATGACTGAAATGACGATTGTAACCATTGATGGGTTTGTTCACAATGACTACAGAAATAACTTAGGTTCAATCAATGAATTAATCACTATGTGATTCATTCATTAATTTGTCAATGTCTTGTTATTAACATAAATTACATAATTAATAGTAAACCGTAAATATACAGGGTTATTGGTGAATTACTATCAATATTTAAGGAGAATACTCGGTACATGATTCTCATTCGAATTATGTAAAAAAAATAGGTACTTAATTTTTGACCAAATTTCCGTATAAATAAATAAAGTGTGGACACGTTCCAAGTGTTCCAAGTGTGGACGCGTGCGGCGGCGTGCTGATACAACACCACGCCGCAGCGCGGGTGTGTGTGTGTGTGTGTATACCTAATCTGTAGGGTGTTCACACGATGCGTAATTAATTACATAACTTTTGGTTAACTTTACTTAGAAGTTTATTAATATTTATGTTATATTAATTTTTATTTTGTCATATATGATCGTCAAATATCACGTCCTCAAGTATCGATAGTAATTCACCAGTCACCCTGTACAGTCGGTTAACCAAGCGTACTTGTGGTAATTGCCAATTTTCTAGTAGACTGCGCGGGCGGCAAACTATGAATGTTGAGAAGAAAGGATGAGGAGTTACATTAACATAATTGGAGGTCGCCGGCAATAGGACCGGTTTACTGGCTGGACGTGGCCATGAAATGACGTCATCGATGACATCATGCTGTATGTACAGATATGAAATAAAACGGATAACCAAGCAACTGAATGTACAACGACATCCTACAGTAAATTGAAATAACAATTAACTCATCATAATCTGTACATACACCATCGCTTGAAGGATTTCATAATATGACATTTTCATTCAGATAGCTTGTACTGTATATAAACTTGCGGAAAGAAAAAATGTTATGCTTCGTATATTTTTTATTGTTGGAGTCGTTGACCTCGTATATGACTATGAGTTGGCATTTATGTATTTTTTTATATAAATAGTGTTATAATCGGATAATTGATTCCAAAATATACAATCGTATTAAGAACTCGTTTATGGCAATGTTTAAAACTATGCATATATTTAAATAATGTTGTGTGAAATTACGATATTGGTTGTCTTTTTCATGTATTTATATGTAAGTATATTTTTTAATTCCATATTTAAAAATCAAAAATATTACCAGTATTCTTAGTCCACGTTTATATCGTCATACCACATACGAAGCGTTGCCCGTTCACATTCAATAACCCACGTTCATACTTTAATACTTTAATGTGCGAAGATTTACGAATCAAAAACGGTTAAAGCTCCGTATTTAGGGTGACCATACCAACTTGGACTAAGCATCCGTAAATATTAAACCAAATACCATTGTTTTTATTCCTCGGACATTTAAAAACAATCAATTTACCTAGAATCAAGTGATTTAATGGATGTTTAGAAATAATTAAGAAAATGTTCATTAATTTACGTAACAACAAGGCAGGGCAAAGATTTCTCGGTAACTTTTTTTTATTAATAATAGCCAACGAAAGTGTCCGTGTATTTAGGTCATACGGCGCACCCAAAAAGCCGTCGACTTTACCCTCTATTAGAGCCGAAACACCCCAGTTATAGAATACGTGGTCAATAACAGATGCAAAACACTTTACAATCTTCGTAGCATGACTCAATTAAGTTCTATCTGTAATTTTTACTTTAAATAACGAAATTTATACTTTCATTCAATACTCGATATGTGATTGCGGTTTATTATAAATGTATAATGAAATGTAAAATTAAACCACAGATTGAGAAAGTTGTATTGGTTTACAAAGTACATATACGATTATTACTACGAGTACAATCACTCTCATTTACAGCTTCAAAAGTAATTAACAGACTCAATATATGTGATAGAAATACAAAAAAACTATATTTAACCAAAAAACTACTATCATCGAATGTAAGGAATAACTACATTGTTTGGTTTAAAAAAACAAAAATATTGTATTTTTTATATAAAAAATGGTATGGCTTCATTCGCACTGGAATGGTGGAATATTTTTCCAATGTCAACGATTTTATTTGTTGGACGACGAATCTGGAGTAGGTACTTAATTGAATACATAGAAAACACGAAAACGTTTGTCAAATGGAATTCATAAAAATTGCACACTAAGTTTATCTCTATAAATATTCTGTCCATGTTACGTAACAATAAATTACAATGGCAAAATTACTGTCGAGTATTTATTTTATTTAAATTATTTTAGTAAGGTTTTTCATTTAAAAAACTCGTTATTTCCTTTATAAAAGGGTTTGTTATGATATAGAATATGTAATATTTATTTATTAAATATTAAATCTATTATTCAAAGGAACGAAAAACATTGTAAATATCTTTTTACCTTAAATATAATAATATGCGAAAACGTAGAGCAATATTTAAAATTATATATGAAGGTGTAATACATATAATTACCAACAGTAGAGCTGAAGGATAATGTCTTTGTTCTTATACAAAATTATTCATATTGAAAACACATTTGTTATTTATATTTACTAAACAACTTACAGCACAATTGAAAAGTACGGTGTAAAAGCGCGGACTAAATTAAATGTGAAGTTTGAAAACTGACATACCGGTACTAAACCGGAAGATGCGTTCGACTTTTATTGGTTCAATATAATAAATACAACTACAACAGTAATCAACTAAATCATAACAATAATGGTTTTGTTATATGATAACTAAGGATATATTTTTTTGATATTTAGGATTGAGGTAGTAAATATTTTAAAATTACATCTTCAAAGTTCAAAGGTGTTTTCAATCCGAATTGATAAAATATGTAGTGTGTGTTTTTGTTATTTTAAATGATATGTGTAGAATACAAGGTAAATAATAATGACAGAAAAAAAATGAACGCATCATGATAAATTAATGTCAACTGTCGGCTGTCAGAATCGTTTGCGTCGACTCTACAGTCGACTCTAATTTCTTTCATCGATACTGGGTTTTTTCTATAACTAGAAGAAATTGTTACGACTTTATTCATTCTGATATCACTGTTAATACAAAATATTTAATTAATTCAAACAACAGAATTTTGCTAGATCTCACAAATATGCTTCTATTAAAAATGTAAATAATACTATGGCTGTATCAAAAAAGCTTATAAAACGTTTTTGAATTACTATTTAAAGTTTAGTAATGGCACCTGGTAATAAAGAGAGGCATCCAGGACACACGGGTACTATACCCAAAACGAAAGTGCGAAACAATTGCAATGTGCCGCAAGAGGCTGTAACACCAACACGACGCGACATGGCCACTAATATGGTGACGGTAATTATATTTTAATAATACTGTACGATCTCAATGCGACAACCATCTAACAGCAGATGTAGGGTCCTGTGTTATTTCGCCAATGCTAAATTGTGAATACTGTGAAGTTTTTTCAGATCACTTGCACCTGTTTATTAATAGAAACTCTGTTTCGCCATATGTATTGGCTTAAATCCAATTTCACAGTAATGTTATACACACATTTATAAATTTGGAATTTTTCTGTGCTATTTATATTAAATTATTGGTCTCTATTTGATTTTAATTTAATTGGACTTGGTCCTTGTTATATATGGGAGCTTGTTTTTCTAAATTCAAATTTAAGAAGGTAACAGCTTCAGTCTAATATTACAATACAATTTCTACCTTGCTGTGTGAATTGTGTGAATTTAATATATTTTTTTTAGACATCATTGGATTGGGTTCCTGTATCTGAATATAATACACGATCAAATTGTAATCAGTCTCGGAAACAAACAAACAATACTTCAGACCAGGAATTAACGGACATAGGTAAGTTTGATTGAAAATATTCCACATGTTATGGTAAATGTAACCTTTCATTTATTTTTAAATAGCATTCCTATTTTCTGAAATTTTTATGACATCAATTTTTTAAATTTAAATAAATATATCTCATACTTTTTGTAAAGTATGCAGATATAATTATAATAAAACAAATCTTAAGTAAGAAGTCTAGTTATAAATATTTTTTAATTTAATAAACCTCTGGTATTTTATCTTGAAATCTCTGTATGGTTTCTATAACAAAGTATAATAGTTAATAAAATTCTTAATATTAGGTGCGAAATTTCCTCAAAGATATTGCTTTGTTCAAGTACTTTTACATGTGACTTTGGTAACAAAGAAACAATTATAACTGTTTTAAATAAAAACAAATAATGTAAAGAAAATCTGCAATTTAAAAATATATTAGAACAATCTAGAATTTTATTAGTTTTTTTTTCTTATTATAGACAATTCAGCGTCATACGAAGGAGGTTTTGGTCGTTTTGTGCCAGTACGTCCTCAACCTCGTGCTCTGCCGCTAACAGTACAGAATAGGGAAGGTCTGTCTGATCAGCACGATGATGCAGCTTCCACGAGCTCACATACATTGCATCCATATGCTCATCAAATGCAGAATGGTAAATATAAGTAGAGCATTCTAATATAATAAGACAAAACTTCTTTGCATTCAATGGATTCACCATATGTGTGTCGGGTCCATCGTTGTAGTGAGAGGAGCTTCAATAGTGCCTGGGACTTGCGACCCAGGTGTAGGTTTAAGAGCATATCTAATGAGCGTTAAATGCTCACCTCCACTGTCCAAGCTCCACTCTCTACATAACCTAATTTGTAAAGATTAATGAACTATAATTAATAATGCAATTATTTAATAATAATTAGTAAGAGATTATTAGTATGTCCAGTTTAACAAAAGTTTTTGCATGAAAGAACTCTGAAATTCTCAATTCAGTCTATATTGAATTGAAGTGTTTAACTTGATTGAAGGTTTAACCTGGAAAACTCTCATACAAATATCATATAGCTGTGGGATATATGTTCTTAAAATTGAAATCAATATAGCCAGATGGCTAGCTGCTTTAATTTAGATTAATATGACAAGCCCAACATTTACTTATTTCCCTTTTTGGTAGTATAATTATACATATATTTTGTTTTTACAGGTTTAATACCCCATTCAAACCACGCGGCTGCGGCTGTTATGATAGTTAACCCGACAACACCGAATGCGGTCACAGGGAATATGAACCAGCAGTTAAATGTATGAGACTTCAACTTCAATACATAAATATAATACAAAATATTAATTAACTTAACTGATTCTTGTATTACAGACACCAAATCAGAATAGAAATAATCTTACAAGGAATTTGAATTCACGTAACACGTTTGATGGTAACAACGCCAATAACAACACGCCAGCCATAACTCACAGTAGATCGGGGACTAAGTCTGTTAATCTGATGAACAATATGTACGACCCGGGACAAGGGAACTTTAATAATGTCAACGAGAATCACGTAAGTTATTTCCATTAAGAAGAAGCCTAAAATAATATAGCTATCAATAATACATTATTTTTTCATCTCTATAACAGTATATTGTGATTTGTTTTGTTTAGGTTGTGTCATATTTGGTAATAAATGTAGAAGAAAATTTATAGTTGTATTACTATAATATTTTGTTTAATAAATCTTTATCTTTTAAATCATTTACTCTAGTAAAATATGTCTGTATTTTTTCTATCTGCTCTTTTCCTACATGTCTAAAGTTCCTTGGTAGAGAATACATCTTAATATAGGACATGAAACAACTCTTTAAGATTAATTGTGTAGGCGACAAAAAAAAATTCAGAAAAATAAACCAAATCGTATTTACGTGTGTTTAGTAATATTCTATGCCATATGTCTATTTAGCCAAGTACATTGTCATAACATTATTTTATCTTTATTTTAAGTATAATATATTAATGTTTAGTATAATATAATTATTTCTATTACAGTCTCACAGAGAGTCAGCCCGTGCGTTAGGCGAGGCTATAGTGGCTGCGTGTCCTGACGCAGCGGCTGTCGAGAGAAGATTGGGACAGATAAGGGAATACATACGAGTGACGTCATCACTCGTAGACACTATGAGGAACTCGGAAGACGAGGTAATATATATATATACATATACTAGCTGCGCCCCGCGGCGTTACCCACCGATTTCAGGAAGTAAAGTAGCCTATGTCTTATTCCTGGACGTCAGCTGGATATATACAAAATTTTATCTAAATCGCTTCAGCCGTTTGAGCGTGAAGAAGTAACAAACATACACACACACTCACAAATTTTCACAATTATAATATTAATAGAATAATATATAGATAGGCAAAAATGATTACAGTACTATACAAAATAGTAGGGCAAGAGAAAATTGTATGTTAAAATGTTTAAGTCGACGAGACCAAGACGATTGATGAAGATCTAATATCTATAAGGATCCTTTTGTTTTATACTATAAATTTCTGTAATTTGACTATAAATCTATTAAATTTCGTGTTGTGTTTGATCGTTTTCGTCATATATTAGTCTATTTATTACAAATTATACTCTAATTTAGGCTTTTATTGAGCACACAAAAGAAGAATACGATGAGCTAGTGAAAATGGTGATGCAGTTGAAAGAGAGTGAGACGAAACTAGAAGCTCTATTAGTTAACAATGAACCCGAAGAATCTGTAACTCAAAACGAAAACACTACTACAGAGCAAACAGAAACAGCTGAAGTTACTACTGAAGTTGAAAATAATGTTAATCAAGATATACCAACAGATAAAAATAACATTAAAAACAACGATAATCAAACGAACAATCTCAAAAAAGTATCGAACATAGAAAACGAACATCTCAACAGATCTATTGCAAACGTTATAGAAGAACCTAACGCGCAAGAACTAAAGAACCAAGATGAAGACGCACTTACTGGTGGAAAAGTTGGCAAAGAAACCGAAACAGCAGTATCTCAGAATGACATCAAGAAAGACGATCAAGAACTCAACGATATACTAAGAAAGAATATAATGGCGTGCGTCGAAAAGATTGCAGTCATAGAAGACATGAAAAATAAGAAAGATTGTAACAACAACGAACAGGTTTCTGTGGATGTCAGTGTGTTACCGCATGAGATGCTCTGAAATATTAACAGCCTAAAACATAGTGAAGAGTTTTATTAATAATCCATTAACATAGTTTTGCTTGTTCGTCCCTTATTTCCCTTATACAATACTAGCTTTCCGCCCGCAGCTTCGCCCGCGTGGAGTTCCGTTACATCGCGTTTCCAAGAACCTTTCAAAAGTCTGGAATAAAAACCATCCTATGTTCTTTTTCAAGGTCAACTCCGTCTCTGTACCAAATTTCATTAAAATCAGTTCAGTGGTTTACGCATGAAAGCGTATTTTCCATTGTTAACCCCCCGCAACCCCCCTTGTGGGTGGAATTTCGTAAAATCCGTTCTTAGCTGACCTCTACTCGGTGAAAGGAATAATCCTACAAAATTTCAAGTCGCTACGCCTTATGGTTCCATAGATATCGTGATGAGTTAATATATAGATGGAAATCTCTTTTATATATATAGATTTTGGGTTTCACGAAAATAAACTCTATTGTCATATATTTACAGCAGGATGTCGTAGTGAGACCGGTGTCGGTACAAAGCAACGGATCCGCGTACAGCGACAATGAACTCTGGCAGAGTGAGATAAAGAACAAAATGGAACTATCGCAGATAAGATTAACGGCTCTCAAACAACAGCAGAAGAGACTGCTCAAATATCAGGTATAAGACTTATTAATATATCTATTTATACTACTTTTTCCATTTAATAACGATATTTTTGTTTCAGGCTGAAGCGAAACAACAATTAGAAGAACTGAATAAGGAGCGTCAAACCCAGGAGATACATCATCCATCAACATCACATGACAATTTCGTTGGAATGCAGGTACTAAATATCATATATATATATATATATATATATATATATGTAAATTACTTAAAGCAAGTTAAATAAGTGTTAAATTTTATAAAGCAATAACATTATTATAATATTAATAAGTAATTATAACTAATAATTCTTTCAGAACATGACAATAAATGCAAATTATCACCCACAAAACCGTATGTACGCCACTAACCCGATCGGCGTGGCCACGACTCTGCCGCAGGCGGATATGACGTCACAGATGACGTCACACATGATGGACAACGACCGGGCGCAAGCCATTCACGACGGTTTCCTCTTGAGGGAAGGAAACACTGGCAGTGAGGTAATTATAATATGTAGATAGAAGAAAACAATATGTTTAAAACTGTGTTTTATAGTAACACTAGCTTTTGCCTACTAGCTGTTTAAGTCAGTTGTGGCCTAGTGATTAAAAGGCCTTCCTCTCATTGCCTAGGGCGCGGGTTCGATCCTGGCAAGTACCAATGTGATTTTTCCGAATCATATGTACTTTCTAAGAGTAGTCTTGGCAAAAATTTGAACTTGGCAGGTTTTTGTGCTGTACGTAACACTTAATTAATTGTATCATTAATTTATTATTTAGTTATATAATTATTTATATTTATATAATTTAAATATTATATAATTTAAATAATTAAATTAACCTGCCAAGTTCAAATTTAGAAGTATTATAATTTTAGATATTTTTAACCAAGCACCTACGTATTTTCACAACTATACCATATTTTAAGTTGGGTGTATGGTAAAGTGAATTTCGGTAAGATGGACCGTTGACGTGAATAAGGTGGCGGGTAGTGGCTGTATGTGGAAGGCAGAGGACTGGGTGTGGTGGCGAGTCTTGGGAATGGCAAATGTTTACCAGTGGATCATGCTGTTGATGAAGATGATTATGATCGATTTCAAAGTGCATCTAAACTTGGCATTAGATTGGATTTCACCCCTTTTTTAGGCAAACAATTAGACGATTGGAACTTGGCCCCCTTTTTAACAGGCATGTTTTTGGTGAGATTTCAATACTTTTTTCAAGAAATCGTACATACAATCGTACTATACAGCCGGACAATGCATAACTTACAGCATGAAACATACAGCTACCATCTGATGGCATAGGAATTACCCTATGTGGTATATCTCAGCCAACCACCGAAAGATGTACAATTTCCATCGTTGGTAAATGAATAGTAGAAAAGAAATAAAGTGAATTTGTGCTTTTAACACACACAAGTAATCAATCAATAAGCAATATCAAAATTAATCCTTTAGCAAGTCAAATCAGTGATCCAGTTAATCGTAATCGTAACCATATATAAGATATCAAGACATAAGTGTAGAAAGAAATAGAAAGAAATGACCATCGATTCCTTATCGACTTTCATTCATATATACTGCAGACAAAACCATATCGCGATTCAATTATACCGCTAGCGCCATCTATCGAAAGTAATTTATAACAATAGGAACTTGATTTTTTAGGTAAGCAATATTTAATTAAGTTATACAGTGTGCATTATGTATACATGACAATATTTTATATCCCTTATATATATATATCAGTTCTTAAGAAGCGCCCCACACTTTTTTCACAATAATATTAATTTAAAAATAAATTAACAAACAATAAATGGTATTTTTGTGAAAAAAAAGCGTGATGAGCTTCATATATCACTTTTCGAGAAAAGCCCCCCGCGTTTTTTTTTCAGTAATACCATTTATTGTTTATTTTAAACAATTTAAATTAAATTGATTTCCAAGGTTGTAAAGGTTAAATTAGTTTCCACGCGGTTTCTTTCATCATTGGAGCGTGTTTTTTAGTTTTTTTTAAACTATATTTATTTATTATTATTTTGTTGTATTATTTATCACCGATTGATAGATGTACTCATATTATTAATTATTAATATTTCATTATTATGTATTTTATTGTGCTGAGCTGAGCGCCTATATAAAGGTTTTGATTACCTGTCAATGAGTCAGTGCCAAAATTAGCTATTTTCACAGGGTCATATTTCAGGATCTACTGAAGCTTTAGGTATAAAATTTGGCATACTGCTTTAGGACTAGTATATGATTACGTAGGTACAATTTTATCTCTGTACTTGCAATAGACACTGAGCTACAGGGGGTCAAAAGTGGGTCGAATTTATTAAAAATTCGATATTTAGAGTTGAGGCAACTCACGCTTGACCGATTTCTTGTATTTCTTAATTTTTTGTTAATCTACATATAACACACAACCTGTGTACCAAATTTCATAATGCTAAAACAATGGGAAGTGGCCTAGAGGTTTTGATTACCTGTCAGTGAGTCAGTGCCAAAATTAGCTATTTTCACAGGGTCATATTTCAGGATCTACTGAAGCTTTATCTATGAAATTTGGCATACTGCTTTAGTTCTAGTATATGATTACGTAGGTAAAATTTTATCTCTGTACTTGCAATAGGCACTGAACTACAGGGGGGTCAAAAGTGGGTCGAAACGGTTCGTGTAAATATAGTGCACGGCATGCGCCGGCCTGTGGAACTTGGCCGGCGCACTACCGTGCGCTTAGATAATATAATGAGCTTTAAGCTTTACTAACTCAAGACAATGCCCTTTTAACACCCAAAATGGTTTGAAATCGGTCATTATTTGGAATAGTTATATTTAAAAAACATTTAGTAGATTTGAGAACTACCTCTTCTTTGATCTCGGTTATAAAGTAGTCTTTTACACTCTTTATAATACTTATTTGAAACTGAGAGACAAAAAAAAATTAAATTGCAGTTTTGATATGACATTTCTAGTATATACTCTAATATACCACATTTTTACTGAACTCATCTATCAGCAATTTGAAATTACAAACGGTCACTTAAATTTGATTTACTTCAGATAATGAAAAGTAAGAATATCAATTAATATAATAATATACAAATATAGGAAGCTCTGTGTTCGGAAGACGAGGCAGCGGGAGGGCGATTGAGAGAACAACTACGAGGCTTGCGAGCTAAGAAGGTTCACATGGAAAACCTGGTAATAAAACATTACTTAATATATAGCCTACTAGCTTTCCACCCGCAGCCTCACCTGCGTGGAATTCGGTTATATCGCGTTTCCAAGAGAACCTTTCAAAATTCTGGGATATAAACTATCCTATGTTCTTTCTCAAGGTCAACTCTATCTCTGTACCAAATTTAATTAAAATCAGTTCAGTGGTTTAGGCGTGAAAGCGTAACAGACAATTACTTTCGTATTTATAATATTAGTAGGGATAGAACAATAGAACAAATTTTAATATAAGGCCTATAATGGCAACTTTTTAGACTTATAACATAATTTTATCCTGTTTATGTGTCAAATAATATACGCCTAAGAAAGGAATAGATACAGAAAATTATGCCTTAAACACTCACGAAGTTTACAAAATTTATCTCGTTTCGTTGGCTCCACCTGTATAATCATGTATATTTAATAAATATATTTCCTGTACTCTCTTTATGCTAGAATAAAATGAGTTATATAAATATAAATTCTCATTTTACATGTGACTTTTTTTAAGGTTTCCGAGTTTCAAAAACTTCAAATGGTAACACGTCTCGGCGGTTCACACAACGCGTACTCAAGTTCGGGCGAAGACAGCGCTGAAGACGAAGCGTCCCATAAATGTAATATTTAATATCTCACAATAATTTTATTATTAACTTTTTAGCCTATCATAATCAGTATAATGTTAAACTGGATTTTGATCAGATCAAAATCAGTACTTTCTGCAAACATACTTTCAACATAATAGAAATTAAAAAAAAACCTAGTTCTAATTAACAAAATGTTTTGATTTATAACCCAAAAATAAATTACACATTAATTTCAGGTAACAAATCAGGAGCGAACGTCAAAAATGACGACCCATTCAAGCTCATGGAAATAAAAGCTATAAAGACAGCCTTACAAAAAACTAAAGGTATTAACAAACCAAGTTACATACAGTGCATATTAAATAGTAACTATTGATTATATTATTAATATTATTATTATTATATTTTCATAGATCTGATGCGGTCAGTGGAAACGTTTGAAGCTGATCATCTCTCCGGAGTTAACGAAGAAACCTTCCATGTGCCGAACCATTCTAACATACATGACAAGTTAGTTAAATAGTACTGTAATTATATATATATAGATATCAATAATGATTTCAAAAATCTTAACTTGTTAAAAAGTCTATATAAATATGAACAAAATATTTTTTATTTTGCATGTTTAACAGTACTGTGTAGGTTCTTACTTAAGCCATAATAATCTCAAATATATATTTTTTATACATATCTTTAATCAGATAACTAATAAATATATCAAAAAAATAGGTTCTTGAAAATATTTTACATTTAAATAAAATCGTATTAAAATAATTACAGTAAATCGGAAGGCGGCGGCAGTATGGGCGATTGGTCTAACGACGCAAACGAAGGTAGCGTTTGTCGCGTTAGAAACGCTATCGCTAGGCACAAGTTCACTAACGAGCACCAACAACATCAGCAACAGCATCAACAGCAACAGCTTCATCAGCAACAGCGGCAACAACAACAACAGCTGCAACACCAACAGCAGTTTGTACAACAACAGCATATGCAACACATGCAATTACAGCAGATACAACAACAAAGTAAGTGATTTTAAAGTTTTCCTATGGTTAGTATGTTTGAAAAGTTTATTCTTATAATATATTGTTTAATCCTAAAACGTGACACTTGAATAATTATACATATATTGGTGCCTTAAAACACTTACATTTATAATGGAAACTTTCTCACTTTCATATGTAATGCTAATTTTATCTTTTATATATCTTAATATTTAAGTATGAAATTTAAATACACTGGATATATTAAAGATATATCATAATTTTATTGTTGAAGGTCACGAAGCTAATATCAACTCTCTCCAAGAACTGGCTCAAGAGCTTCGAATGGAAACTGAAAAAATAATTGGAGAAAGAGCAAGGATTAAAGACATTGTTACTAATAAAGGTAATATAGCACTACTTACGTACAATAAGTCATTATAAAGTAGATGTATACTTTCATAGTATCTAACTTTGTTTTAATATATTACTATTCAATACATTTAAGATTATATTAATGTCAATATATCTTTGTATATATAATTCTTCTGTGAGTGTGTATGTCACTGAACTTCTCTCAGACGATTGGACCGATTTTGATTAAATGTTTTGTGTGTGTTCAAGGGGATCTGGGAATGGTTTAGATTCACAATTCTGTCCGCTGGACGATGTTTTTTTAATTAATTTTTAATATATTAGTAGTTGCTGATACAAACGTTTTTTTTACATTAGATTTGACAATTAACTAATGCCAATCATTCTGTCGCACTTCAAAACACGGAGATTTATGGCTTTAATATGTAAACTCCAAAAATATACGTAACAGATATTTCTTGATTATAGGGCGATACGAAGTTCGCCGGGTCTTCTAGTATATATATATATAAATTGTTACTTTAAAATATCGTAATGATCAAAAATGTCCACATACTAACAAACATTATAATTATTACATGACCATCAACTCATTCAGTACTAATTGATGATTACAGAACGCAAACAAAAGAAAGTTAACGAGGAAGTAGTACGTGGTTCAGTTAATGGTGTCGCTAGTGGTAGTGGTATGGGGCCGGCTGAACGAAGACAGATGCAACTCAGAGCTTTACTAGCTGACAAACAGAGGGAGCTAGAAGCGCTGCTAAATAAGAAGGTAATTACATCAGCATAGTAGCCTACGTCGTCATCAGCCTATCAGAGACCACTGCTGAGCAAAGGCCTCTTTCTCACATGGAGAAGGTTTGAGCATTAATCACCACGCTTGCTCAAGACGGGTTGATGATTTCAAACTTATAATTGTGAAACTATAAGTCCAGGTTTCCTCACGATGTTTTCCTTTACCAGTACACGTGATGTACCAGAGAGGGTTGATCTCAGGCAGGCGGCCGGTCGTAAAAACAATTGGCCAAAACTATTTACATGTAAGACAGACCCTGGCTAAAGCTGGGAAATTTCCAGGTAAAAGCCTACACGTGATATGACAACAGACGATAGATGCGTAAAATGAAATTTATAGGCGGGACTGAGAATGAGATTGCACAATCCTGTGCTTGTGATTGGTTGATCGCACCTGAATATACTTGCGAGCACTTAAATTGGACCAATTGTTTCTGTTATGTACTGTTGCGAGTTTTTGTTATTGATAAGTATTGAAAGTGACCAGTTCTTGTTACACTAAGTGTACATCTGCAGACTTATCCGCACTATGCCAACATCTTGCCAAGTCACTTGTCAGTAACTATACTAAAGTTGCATTAAAGGATGTGTATTATATTTTTCAATAGTTGATGTTACGTTTTTCATTTTGACTCGCGTCATTTAAATAAAACTCATATATATTTCTAGATATTACCTACTATTTAAAGCTTACGCTATTTACATTATACTAAATTGTAGGTGTGAAAGTTTATTTGCATTTATATTATAAAAGTATTGAAGCTTTCATAAAAGAACAAGTACACAAATATCATACAAATAAAACATTTATTCTTCTTATATGTCACGTAAATATTTAAATAATCAAATTTTAAAACATAATAGTATAATATAACTAGAAGACCTGGCGAACTTCGTATCACCCTATAATCAGGAAATATCTATTACGTTTTTTTATTTATATTTTTTATTTAAAAAATCCTATTAAAAATATTTAAGAAAATATATATTTTATGAAAACTTAAACATTGAGGCTCTGGATATTAAGATAGTTTTTAATGTTAGAAAAAAAAGTAGATTTTTAAAATGTATAAATAATTCCTATCAGTTTTTCAAATGTAATATTTTTTTTGTGTTTATGAATTTGCGCACTTTTTTTAATGATGATGTATTATTTCAAGCTTTTTCTTCTTTAGAAGCTTTTTGTATGAAGTATACACACTGCAGTAGTATATACTGTACAGTCTGCAGTTTACACGATACACGATACAGTCTGCAGTTTACACGATACACGATACAGTTTGCGGTTTACACGATACACGATACAGTTTGCAGTTTACACGATACACGATACAGTTTGCAGTTTACACGATACACGATACAGTTCGCAGTTTACACGATACACGATACAGTTTGCAGTTTACACTATACACGTTACAGTCTGCAGTTTACACGATACACGATACAGTTTGCAGTTTACACGATACACGATACAGTTTGCAGTTTACACGATACACGATACAGTTTGCAGTTTACACTATACACGATACAGTCTGCAGTTTACACGATACACGATACAGTTTGCAGTTTACACGATACACGATACAGTTTGCAGTTTACACGATACACGATACAGTTTGCAGTTTACACGATACAGTTTGCAGTTTAGACGATACACTATACAGTTTGCAGTTTACACGATACACGATACAGTTCGCAGTTTACACGATACACGATACAGTTTGCAGTTTACACGATACACGATACAGTTTGCAGTTTAGACGGTACACTATACAGTTTGCAGTTTACACGATACACGATACAGTTCGCAGTTTACACGATACACGATACAGTTTGCAGTTTACACGATACACGATACAGTTTGCAGTTTAGACGGTACACTATACAGTTTGCAGTTTAGACGATACACTATACAGTCTGCAGTTTACACGATACAGTTTGCAGTTTACACGATACACGATACAGTTTGCAGTTTAGACGATACACTATACAGTTTGCAGTTTACACGATACACGATACAGTTCGCAGTTTACACGATACAGTTTGCAGTTTACACTATACACGTTACAGTCTGCAGTTTACACGATACACGATACAGTTTGCAGTTTACACTATACACGTTACAGTTTGCAGTTTAGACGATACACTATACAGTTTGCAGTTTACACGATACACGATACAGTTCGCAGTTTACACGATACAGTTTGCAGTTTACACTATACACGTTACAGTCTGCAGTTTACACGATACACGATACAGTTTGCAGTTTACACGATACACGATACAGTTTGCAGTTTACACGATACACGATACAGTTTGCAGTTTACACGATATAGTCTCCAGTTTACACTATACACGTTACAGTCTGCAGTTTACACGACACACGATACAGTTTGCAGTTTACACGATACACGATACAGTTTGCAGTTTACACGATACACGATACAGTCTGCAGTTTACATTGAATAGTTAATCTTCGGATGAAAATTATAAGTAGCTACGTCTTTTGATACTATTCTTACATCTCGAAGATTCGAAACCTTTTGCTGTTTTATAAAATACTAGCTTTTGCTGCGACTTCGTCCGCGGGGAATAGTGACTTCCGGCAGATTTTTGGTTCTTCCCACATAGTTCCCGTTCTTGTGGGGTTTTCGGAATGGTCGAGTTCCCGTAGAATTTTCAGGATAAAACCTATGTTTTTTTATTCACAATGAAGTACTCTTAACCAACAACATATTTATTTGTTTATTTGAATAGAGAACAATATTATTATGTTGATTTTATTTATTTATTTATTGATACAACTTAAACAAATTATTTCGACCAAATTAGGTACCATAAAAATGGTTTTTGTGAGTTAATCTTAAAAGATAGACATATACTGTCGCGGACTGTTTTTAGATCATTAAAAGAGCTATTATTCTTTAATACATATTTTTTGTGTATCTTGAACCGTTTTCTCGGCGCACGCAACGGAAAGCTTCAAAGATGCAATAATTTCTCCCGTTTTTTACACATTTACCACTATATCTTTGCTCCTATTGGTCGTAGCGTGATGTTATATAGCCCACAGCCTTCCTCGATAACTGGACTATCCAACACAAAAAGAATTATTCAATTCGAACAAGTAGTTTCGGAGATTAGCGCTTTCAAACAAACAAACAAACTCTTCAGCTTTATAATATTAGTACAGATTATTGTTTTTTTCAGGTGTCCAGTGGTAATTCAGATGCTCAAATCATTCTCAAAACCGATTCTGGACCTGGTTCAGTATTAAATGGATCTTACAACAGGTATTTTATATATTATTATTATTTATTTTAATGACTACATATAGATATATAAATATTATGCGTTATAAAATCCATGGAATTCTAGATTTATTGTTAGTTTGATTTAAAACTTTTTAAAGAAAGGTTTACTCGGTTACTCTGCATGATAAACATATTAAGATGAAATTTTCAAACACATTTTTGATATTCAGTAATATATTGTTTTTTTTTTAAGATCCAATACATTTAAATTTTGAATGAATTGATTGTTTTCTTTGTAATATTCTTTCATATTTATTATTTACAGTGAACAGGAGGAACAATCTCAATCCGAACATGTACAAGTTGACTCACAGAATTCTAGAGAGAATGAAAATTACAGGGTAAGTGAAGTAAGATAAATACTTGTAAGACTTATGATATAATTATGTCTTTAATCAAACAATCTTGATGCTACTAAGAACTAATACTGGAAGTAACTTAATGAAAACTAAGGTTTTCAAGAGTATTCATTGAAATAAAAAAAATATTTTTCGGATCTATGACGCGTTTATAATTATTATTTTTAACAATATATGTACTATGTAGTCCCGACGTTTCATTTACTTTTCAGCAACCGTAATCACGGTATCTACAGGGTGACTGGTGAATTACTATCGATATTTGAGGACGTGATATTTGACGATCATATATGACAAATTAAAAATTAATATAACATAAATATTAATAAACTTCTAAGTAAAGTTAACCAAAAGTTATGTAATTAATTACGCATCGTATGAACACCCTACAGATTAGGTATACACACACACACACACTCGCGCGCGACGGCGTGTTGTTGTATCAGCACGCCGCCGCACGCGTCCACACTTGGAACACTTGGAACGTGTACACACTTTATTTATTTATACGGAAATTTGGTTAAAAATTAAGTACCTATTTTTTTTTACATAATTCGAATGAGAATCATGTACCGAGTATGCTCCTTAAATATTGATAGTAATTCACCAGTCACCCTGTATACTAGTAGACAGTTTTTTATTTAAATAAAGTAGGCGTAGTATATCTGAATTAAAAATTTAGTTTCTTAAAAAAAATTGTTTCATTTAAACTACTCCAGTAGTGGAGCACAGCTGTAGTGTATACTATAGTTGTAATGTTCAGTCATTTTCTGCAAAAGATAGTACTATCCAGGGATAGTACAAATTACAGTAAAATACCTATAATAAGCCATAAATTCTTTCTTCAATACTCTCGTTGCCTAATGTTCCTTACATTTCTAAATTTATCATGTTTTATAGAGGTATCCAAATTTGAACCTTACCGTATAAGGTATAGTGACAATTATCAAGTGGTGCGTTATTTTACCTTTGCCAAAGATATCACAAGTTTGAATGCTCGTATTCATGATACATTAATTTTGAATTGACTTATAATTATTTCAATTCCATATACATACTTGTAATGTATATCTTCCCCTATTATCACTATATCAATGGTATGATTCTTATGATATTGCTTGTAATAAGTCGTTTTTGAATTATACATTTAAACAAACAATTATAAGTTTGAAATCACCAAACCGTCTCGAGCAAGCGTGGTGATTAATGCTTAGAGAAGAGGTTTTTGCTCAGCAGTGGGCTCTGATAGACTGATGACGAACAAACAGAAGTGTATTTTATTATATATTTATATACTATATATTATATACAGGGTGTAGACAGCGCATCCTCTCGCTCGCTGCAAGCCGCCGCTTCACAACTGGCGAGCGCTTACGCCAGCGACAGTGACACGTGAGTTACATATTATTTATATAAACTAACAAATCATTACTTAATAATAATATAAATGCGAAAATTTGTGATTATATGTAGATGTTTGTTGCTCTTAAAAAACTTTACAGTAATATAGAGTAGATATCAGAATTGGACATAGAATATAATTTATATCATAGTTTTGTGTGAATTTATCGTGAGATCTATACTAATTGCATAACTGTTGTATTTGGTATTAAGTTACGGATCACGGACGATAGATGTCGCTGTCAGTAAAAGTAATATCGATTGTTTTATTATAAAATAATTTTGATATTTCACACTAAACCCAATTCTGAAATCGACGAAGGAAATCGTGGGCAAAAGCGACTATTATATAAAGCATTACTTACACAACAGTTATTATACATATAATAAGATCAGTGTTATATATTGTTATATCTATTCATAAGTATTTATTTTTTCAGAGCGTCTAGAAACAAGATTAATCAGAGAAATCGTTCACGTCGAAGGACACAGGAAAGACAAGCAGATGAGAATAATGTTAGTGATTTCTTAATATTTAAACTGGTATATAAAATCTTATTTAATTAGTTAAATTAAGAAAGTGAACCTTTTAATGACTTCTCTAAGGAGTTTAAGCATAATGTTTGTATTAGATAATTTTTACTTCATACTGCTTGGAACTGAAAATGATTTTGTATTGTTTTTCAATTACAATGCGTCAAAGATATTATTTTTTATTTAAATTTTCATTATTATTAAATCAAATAAAATTATATCTAGACTGACTTGATTTAGTAACAATTTAAGATAGTTTAAATAAGTAAATAAACAATTTATATTATAATTAAAATCAGGTTATCACAATTCCGTAATTGAAGTGTGTTTCATTAAACACATTTTACACAAAATATCCTTAAATCCTTTACGCATTTCTCTACTATCTCAACTCCATTCAAAGATTTTGTATGAAACTCTTTATATTTAAGGTAATTAAATTTCAAACCAATTGTAATATGATGTTAATACTAGTGATTGTTTCCAGGTTTCTCATCAGAACAACGCGAACATGAACACACGTCACGAACCTCGCTCGGAACCCACTAACAACATGACGCCGACCATCACACAGAATAGTGAGAAATATACCTTTAATATATAATAATCATAATATTGTCAGTGGTGGCCTAGTGGTTAAAGGGCCCGCCGCTCGTTGTCGAGGGCGCGGGTTCGATCCTGACAAGTACCAATGTAATTTTTCCGAGTCATATGTACTTTCCAAGAGTATTTAGACATCACTGATTAATGCTGATTCCCAAAAAGAGGGTTGATGTCAGGCAGGCGGCCGGTTGTAAAAACAAATAGCCAAAAATTATTCACAACATGTAAGGCAGACCCTGGCTATAGCTGGGATATTGCCAGGTTGAAGAAGAATCATAAAAAAACAGCCATCCTAAACATATGTAGAATAGTAAGAAAGTTCATGCAAATAGAAGAAAACGAAATCACTCCTTCTCATACAACATACATACCACACGACTAATTTGGTTTCGGCTTTTAAATATGACTAAAACCACTTCAAAGCTGAGAAAAAAAACATCAATTTATAATAATCTCTATACACTTCTTCTCCCAAGCGTTCACTGCAGTCTATAATAAACATGTAGAATTGTAAAAAACGTAAATGATATTAAATTATGATTTTTGCTATTTTTTGTTTACTAGGACTAGGAGGACGATAGTGCTTAAATTTAATTAAATTAAATTATAAAGTCGTAATAAATCAAGAAATTAATAAGTACCATTATATTTATGTATGCATACTCAAATCTTTTGTTATTGATATTTACAAATTTTATAAAAATTCTTCATCTGTGTTAATTAAGTGTATGCAAATTTATATTTAAGACTATGCTTGCCTCGATAGTTTGAATGATAAACGAATGGAAAAGTATTCTGAAAAGGTGTAGGTTTGAATCCAAATTCCGTTGATGTATTTTTTTTTTCAAAACTATTTATCTGAGCCTTAACTCGGATCTAATTTTCTATTTTTCTTCATAAGGAGTTCCATATTTATAATACGGTTTCTTTCTTACATGTGGTAACATATTTAATAACAATTTATAATGAAACAACCCAATTTAGAAGTATTAAAACATTTCAATTTGATATTAATCATTAACAATTATTTTTTCAGTTGACAACACAGCCAACATGCCGTTCTCTCATCTTCCACCAACTTGTTGGAACACAAATAAATCTAATCAGGTATGTATTATGACAATAAACATATTTATTTTTTTAAATAGAACAAGACAAAAAAAATATGCTCTATTTTCAAAAGAATAGAGTTTATATTTGACTGTTTCCATAGTAAAAATGTAATCTCTGAAAAAAAATACATTACTTGAAGGTAATCACTAATAAGTCTTTTTTTAATTAAGGGTATTGCAAGTTCCTATAATCCTATAGTTCAGAACATAAGTTGTACTGTATTTTTTCGTTTTATAATACTTGTATGCAGTGGCGGCTGTACCTTAAGTGCGCCCGTGCGCTGAACCACCAATTCAAAATATTTAAAAATTACAAAATATTATGTCATCTTAATTTTTAAATTACCATTTTAATATTTATTTTTTAAACATACAAAAAGGTATAAAAAAATTAATTTCCAATTATGGTCAAAAAGTTTGAGCGCTTTACTAAACTCATATCGTGCGCTCCGGCGAGTGCACGAGGACTGCTAATACATCTTGTATGAGACACGCTTTAATACGCCTGGCGCGTGAGACAAAAGATAGTTCATAGAAATGTACCGAGTAACGAGTCGGTTCTCGAGCGCCGCACGAAGCGGCCGAAGGTTACCGAGAGCACCCGATGTATGACGTATTGAGCCGGCCGGCAAGGGGCCGGCCGAAAGGATGGGTGCTGTGATTGACATTTCGTTAATCGTTATTGGTATTGTTTCAACTTTCACTGTATGCGTGACGCGTTAATTCGTTATTGTTTATAATTATTTCCGTAATTCGTTTTAGTTTTTATTTCGTTTCTATAATAGAACTTTTATTCTGTACTGTGTTTTTTATTAGTTGAAAATGAGTATAAATATTGATTATATTAAAGAAAATAACAAAATTTTTCAAAGTAAAGTGAACATAAAATTGGCCGGGCCCTTTTTAAATTTAAAACAAGAGTGTAAATCGAAAAATAAAGCATTTATACGAAGTTTTAAAAGTGAAATGTATAATAGAAAGAAATGGTTGTGTGGATGTGAGCGTCTTAATGCATTGTTTTCCTTGCATTATTTTTGGCGGAGAATCGATTTGGACAGAAACTGGAATCAAGGATTTGACGCATTTAAGTGAAAAAATAAAAAAAACACGATTCTTCACAAATACACCTACAAAATGTAATGAGTTTGTCTGTGTTAGGCACAGTCGATATTCGTAATCAGCTAGATTCTGTGTATAGAAGTAATATCCAAAAGTATAATAAACAAGTTGATAAAAACAGATACATTTTATCACGTCTTATCGATTGTGTCAAGTTTTGTGGTGCATTTGAGTTGTCACGATGAAACTATTGAGTCCAGTAATGCTGGAGTGTTTCGTGGATTAATAGACTTTGTATCAGAGTTGGATATAGTTATGAATTAATGTACAAAAAATAAACATATTTTATGTCAATTGTTGTTTTTGTCAATATTTTAGTAAAGTGAACCACCAGTTCAATAACCCACCAGCCGCCACTGCTTGTATGTTATATGTTATATAAATATATATGTTAACAGGACGTCCGTACAAATCAGTTCACTCAGAACAGTCACTCGCAGACTATGGAGCGCCTCCTGGGTACGCCCGTGGGCTTCCCGCCCGCCATGCCCTTCAACATGATGATGCCGTTTGGTAAAAACAACTAACTACCAACAAATACTTTAAAAACATACATATTATTGTAGTATAAATGAAGAAATGTTTATGAAACTTTAGATATATATTGTAATTATTCACCAAAAAGGTTGCACACAATTTAATATGATTTTCTTTTAATTTGAAAATGGAGCGTTATATTATACGTGTCTCATGTGTGTGTGTGTGTAGGTATGATGTGCGCGTGTGGGTGCGCGTGCAGCGCGTGGGGCGCGTGGAGCTGGCAGCAGCTGGCCGCGCAGGCGAGGGACATACACGCGCTCAGAGAACAGATCACACATGTTAGTATACTATTATTGAATAGTGATAACTGAAACATTAATAATATACAGGGTGACTGGTGAATTACTATCAATATTTAAGGAGCATACTCGGTACATGATTCTCATTCGAATTATGTAAAAAAAATAGGCACTTAATTTTTGACCAAATTTCCGTAAAAATAAATAAAGTGTGTACACGTTCCAAGTGTGGACGCGTGCGGCGGCGTGCTGATACAACACTACGCCGCCGCCGCGTCTGTGTGTGTGTGTGTGTGTATACCTAATCTGAAGGGTGTTCACACGATGCGTAATTAATTACATAACTTTTGGTTAACTTTACTTAGAAGTTTATTAATATTTATTTTAAATTAATTTTTATTTTGTCATATATGATCGTCAAATATCACGTCCTCAAATATCGATAGTAATTCACCAGTTACCCTGTATATAATACAATGGCTTCCATTATATATCAAATTATAGATTAATCGTCCACGTTTCTTAAATACTTCCGGATTTATAACACATGTATGTAGGTTTTAACGTTTTATATAATTTACAAATAGTTTTTTTCTTTGGCTTGTTTTTATTCACTTTTAATTTAAGCATTAACTCATCACTACTCTAATATTAAAAAGATAATAGCACGGATTTTCATTACCTTAAAAAAAATTTATTTGAAGTCACGTTTAAGACCATTATATTTTCCTAGGACACTAAGTGAATAGTTCAACCCTAATTTTCCCCTTATATTCTAAATAATACTTTGTTTAATTAAATTTTGTATGACAGTTGGAAGAGCGTTGGCGAGCTGAGACCGCGTCACACACACTCAACAATCAAGTACCGCCCGGGAATAGAGCGAATAACTACTGGGACAACTTTAGAAGGTGACTCTACTTAATATATTACAGTATTACTTCATATATTTATATACTTAATATATATTGTATCTTATTTCAGATATTAGAAAATGTACCCGTCATATTCAACTAGTTTAAATATTATATAGTTCGTTATTTGTATATTATCTATTTGTGTACCGCACTCCTTATGTTATTATAGGTAAGAGTTGTGTGAAGTGACCTTGTGGCTTGATACATTTATTGTTTTAAACGCATACACCCTTAGATACATAATGTTGTTTTCCATTTATACTAATAAATATGTATTTTAAAACTAAATAAGTAGATTATCAGAGCGTAATTGATAATATTCGTTCCAGTTATTCCCGCCAGAACTTACTGTCTACGAACAAGAGCAACGAAGGTCACGTGGCTCACGCGTTGGTCGAGCGTTCGCATAACAGTTTACACCATACGTCATCGTCAACTTCTCCGTCTTTAACGCCAAAGCGAAATACAGACGCCCCGCCCACCCAGCAGGTCGCCCCGCCCACTCACGGCCCCGCCCACTGTCCCGCTCGAGGCTACGAACGCTCTCTATCCTTCTCCTCCGCCCCCGACGTCCTCAACGTGAACCAGAACCCGGAGGAAGAAACCAACCTGAACGTGAACCGACCCGAACCTCCTCCACAAAGAAACATTAACTACGCTAACCCGATACCGGAGATTATTCAATCCCACTCGAACAATCTGAACGCGCCGGCCAATAAGCGGAAGTCGTCAGCTAAACTGCCCGCCAAAAACGCTGCGAATAAAAAATACGCGCTCGTTTTCTCACCGACGAGTAACATAGATATTGCAAGCTCATCTGTAGACACAGCGAACCCGAACTTAGCGTCGGGCAGTCGCGAGGTACAAGATAAGGCAACATCCAAGCTATTCGATCTATTCAGAGAAAATATTTACTCCGAAGTAACAACTTTAATTGGAGTGAACGAGTCACATCCAGATTTCCTAATACAATTGTTCAGAGAACTACAACTAATTAGCTCAGACCCACTCAGGCAGAGAGTGTTACAATCAATAAGAGGAGTACTCGCACAATACGGACCATTGATCGACAACCAGAATGATGACCATGAAGAAATGACAACCGAAGTGACCACAACCTCCGCGGAAAATTGTCAGGATTGTAACAATCAGAACGCATGCTCCAACAGCGTACAGATAGATAATAAAATTGTTCGATTCCTCTTAATGAAGAGTGAAGAAGTATTCACAACAGATTTACTCGAAACTCTCTCGTCACTCATAATAAACTCGCCTGATGGAAGGCGGACGAAAAGACTTCTAGATATGCTCTCTAAATACGAAGGAATGAGAGTTTGTGACGTGTCTAGTGATATAATAGAAAACATGACGCTGTTTACGTCAGTGAACAACGATGATGAAGCATCCCGTCACGCGAACGAAATCTCCGAATCTTCTATACTACAAGACGTAGCGGGGTCATTGAACTTATTCAGCTCGAGCGAGACTCAACTGCATCAGATCAACACGTGTCCGTATATGTGGCCCGGACACGTACACGTGGACATCAACGACAGTCAAGAAGGGAAGGTCGATCTCATCAACTGCTCGGATATACACAACGGCGACTTGGCCGAAGCCGATCAGACTTGCCGCACCGATATAGAAGACGGACAGACACATAACGAAATGGCCGGAAATGACGCTCTACCGGATGTGGTTGACACGGACGAGGTGACGCCCACAGAGGTAATGCAACACGTACTCTACTGTAGATGCCTTCCCTTGATAAACTGTACTAACCGCAAAAACTAACCTCTGCCACAGCTTTTCATTTTTCAATTGTATACTTAATGTAATGTTACTAACATACTAATCTGTTACTTATGGTCTCATTGTGTATTAATTTTTATAAGTGTAATAATCCAAACAATAAATAAAATATTCCAATGCTTATTTTTCAATTAACACTTATTTTATTTGATCTTGTGATCCCGGATGTTTCGAAAATATAATAATATCAAGGAACTTTTGTCTTTTCAATAACTTTTATAAGTGAACAACATTGATTTATAGCTTAAATATAGTTATGGATTGCAAGTATAAAGAAAACTACACTATAAATTAAGATAATTTTTATTATATAACAAAAATCAGGTACAAATAAATCACAAAAGAAAATAATATTTGACTAGAAGGAATGCTTATATGGATTTTGCATATAGTTGTACACAAAATGTTCTAAGCCTGCCGCATATCAAGTACTGTACATAAATTGTTGATATGTTTATATTAAAGGCCGAAGCTGAGTGGTTCGGGCTTGACCGTGTGCCAACAAGGCTGCATATGGAAGAAACATCTGAAAAGCAGAAAGGTGAAGGTTAATATAATGTCTAAATAGAAGCAAACACTCAAACATCAAACTATGTTTGATTAATTGTTTGAGCGAGCCTGGAAAAAAAATATATATTAAATCTTCTCAACTGCATCTGTAACAGAAAAACAAAATAAATAGTAATTAATTTCCTTTTCCTTTTTCAGAGTAGGGTCAAGGAGTAAGTCGTCATGGTCTTTTCCAACTCAATATATCTAATATTGTAAAATTCTTTAATACTTTTCATTGACTGTCAATATTTACATAGTTTCCATTCTGTAATATTTATTGAAAATAAATAAAATATATATAGTGCAAATATTTGTCTTTCTTTTGAAATAAAAATCCCACCCATTTCCTATTTTATTTTTTTATTTTGAAAATTCCTTATATATCTAGATAAATGTTAATAAATCTTCATAAACATTTTCACATCAAAGTTCTTTAGAGTCTCTATATATCGATCATCTTATGATTCACAAACACTGTAACAGATGAAAGTAACTTCCTCCGTGTAAATTCCAATAAAGATTTTCCATCAAGTCTTCTGAACTTTTCTCAGTTTTCTCTATCTCGATTGTCTCAGGTTTTCTACATTTCTTTGTTTGTACTTCTGTAGATAAAATTACATTTCTTAATTAGATTTACTCTGTCATAATATGTATTATATCATATGGACCATGAGACAACGAGTTATATCTGGGTTGTTGTGAGTGGGACGCAGTAAACATGGGTTGTAAGTTGTTGTTGAAGGCACCAGACCCTCTGAAATAAAGTCGGACTTTATCACACTGTGCCCACAAATTTCACAGCAGGAAGCCTTGTTATCCGGTTTTGTTGCGGTTTCAAATTATTTGAAGTTCAATCAAATCTGAGTATGCTGAAAACAATTCATAATAATCTTTATACACAAAATTTTTTTAAGAAATCAGAGATATAGAGATAGATAGTATATTTTAACAGTATTTTCAGCAATCTAAGATTCAATTGTTTATTACAAGTTGTTATATTAAAATACATTTATTTTTTCTATTTTTGAAAACAATTTTACCATTATATTATACTAGTAAAGGTGTTATACATTTTGATTTCATTAATTGATTTTGAAAACTAAGAATCATTTGTGAACTGATAATAATAAAGTTTACATATTATAGCAGAATATGAACAATTCTTTAATATCTTAAAAGATATGTCAGAGTTTTAAACATCACAAAATATCACAACTAATTTAAGTAAAAAATTCTGCATTAAAAATATTATAATTGAATTCAATAAATTAACGACCAAATTCAATATATTTAAGTAAATAAAACTATATTTTAGGATTTATATTTTAAAAATACCCCAAAGTATTTTCAACATAATTTAAATATCAACGAAATGCATATACAATTAAAATTTAAAAATATAGTTGTATTTAATGTGAATATGTAATCTTTCATGTTAATAATAAGGTATTTATGATTATTATGATATATTGTTGGGAATGGTACAAAACTGTACAAAAAGCAGATTGACAGAAGAAAGTATACGCTGAAATATTTCTTATATATACGACTTTTAAGGGAATCTTTTTACAATTAGTAATAAATTAAACACTAAATAATTACTAATTGTGAAAAAATTACCTTAAGTCATTAATATAGAATATATTTCAGCACAAACTTTCTCTTGATAATCTGGTTCCAATGTAGATATGCAGAATTATTCAATAGTAGTTATATGGATTTGCTCTATCCCCGACGATATATAATTTATGTTGCCTACATAGTTTTCAAGAGTAACTAAATACATTATTTTCCAATTACATTCATATATATTATGTTCATTGCAGACTTTAATCTTCTCATTTATTTAATCCCTTGCACTTAGCAAGTTTTAATTTATAAAACTAAAGCTATACAATATAGTTACGACAGACAGATCATTTATTAATAAAATGTGACTTAAGATAGGCATTAAATAAAGAAATATTTTAAAGTTTAATGACCGAGATGTTTGTTATCAGATAAAATTTTTCAAGTCAAACATTTATACTTCTTTTTTAATGAATCATTTAAGCACTTAAAAATTTTTATCTTTACATATTGTACAGACCTATTAAAAGAAACCAAAGTTTCACTAAAACAGTTGCTTCATAAAAAAATATAAAAATAGGTACTCTAAGTATAATCTTACGAAATTTAATATGATATTAAACACAGCAATGCAACAGGTTTTGTTATAAATAAATATTAGTAGTTAACATAACTAAAATGATATTATAATTTGAAACTGCAACAAATATTAACACTTATATGTGAAATCATTGTTTTATTGTGATTGTAGCATATCCAATTAATCAATATCCCTGCTGCATTGTATTGCAAGCTAATCCAATGGTATGTGTAAATAATACCATAAATACCAATTAGAAAAATATAAAATTCTTATATTTTATTGAAACTTTATTGAATCAGAATTATTTAACAATAAATTCAATAAAGTTCCAATAGAAAAATTCTTCAAAATCTTACCTTCACGCAGGCGTTTAGTTTGCGGATATTCGGAATCCTCTGCACTTCTTTTTCTCGAGTTGTTTTGCCGTGAAGCTGTTGTGGCATTCGTAGCTTTAGAATCCACTTCAGTCATTTCGCAATCATAATTTTCTTGCATATTTTCAACGCTTTTCTGACCATGAAAACCGTAATAACAATTAGTTGATACGTGATAATTCTGGCATTGGCCCATTAACACATCAGCGTCAGCGCAAACTGGAGCTAGTTGCATTGTGTTGAAATTATTCTTGGCGTCTTGCATATGGTACAAGTTAATGCTGCTAGCTGGCATGTTCAATTTCTAACTCCCGGAAAGAGCTAACTCGACTAAACAATTAACAAGACAAGTGTACCGTCACAATGCTCTATTTCAAGCGGTATGAGAGGAAATAAGATTTAATTAACCAATGATGAATTGTCTACATAAAGCTTACATGGAAAGTTATTAATAATGATTATTTATTGAGTAATGACTAATGAAATAATGACCACATTGCGCGGTTTTTGTCAACTGTCAGAATAAGCGTCCCTCCTATATTTTTAATCAAATAACTTGCAGTGAAATCTAGCAAATTAAGTCATTAGATTTTAAAAGAAATATTTCTTTTTATTAATTTCCTATCAACAATAGCATATAATCAAGAGATAATCTTTGCATAAAATTTTACTAATTTCTATTCGCCCCGTCTAAAGATTTATGTCTAGATATAATGTTTTTTATGGTAATTACGGTAATCATTTATGAGTTATGACATGTATGTCGTCTTGACATTTTTGACAAAATAGATAACAGACAAATCACACAAGCCTGATAGTTTTACTTGTACAAAAACTTAAAATTCTGGAAATAGATTTATTTATTTAAATAAAGTATTCCATATAATTAGTCCATATTAGACAAATCATCGAGTGCTAAGTATATCACTTACAAATATGAACTCTATCACTGTTTAGATCTTTTTAAATAAGTATTATTCGAATTCTAATATTTTCTTACAATATTTATTTATAAAAATGATCATGTTGCCGTCGGTCGCCTCATCCCTTTGTAGAAAACTTGGGATACATTACTCTCAATTTAAAAGTTATAATCTGGCGAATATTAGAGCTTATTACATTTTACGTAGCGAGAGAAATATCGTAAGGTATCCAAATACGAAATTATATAGGTGTCTACATACATCTTCATATTGTTATGATAAAAATACAAAAAATGTGGCCTCCATTGCTGTTGGTGAAGATAAAGATAAAAATATAGCAAAACAGAAGACTTTGGAAAACATTATTGTTAAAACGGAGACAGACGCCAATAATTCAGTCACGAAAGTAACTATAGAAAAATCAAAACAGGAATCAGATACAAAACAGACCGTTATTCCTCCAAGTATGTTTAACAGTATATTTTTTCGACATTTCAATTGTGTTCTTAAATAAATATAATGTGGATATTTTTTTCAGAAAAGAAAAGACTCCTTATTGATTTTTCGGCATCATATACTGAACGAAACTTTATAACTCCGATGAGAGCCATGACAGAGTATTTATTAAAACAAACTGATTTAGAGACATTGCCAAAAGTTTTAAGACGATCGCCTTACGAGTCCGAACCACCAATTACTGTTTATTATAGAAAGGATGTTGAAGCTAAAGCTATTGAGGTAATATCTAAAATACATATAAGATTCTATTTAAATTTTCATACATACAATAATTTTGTTCACAATATATGGCGACAAATTACAACTCTCTATTATAATTTTTGAACAAAAAAATAACTTGAATATTAAAAATGTGATCTTATCTAATGTAATGAACTTCAAATTAATTTTAAGGTATGGGGCTCAAAAGAATCATTGGATAAAGAGCTTCTCAGAAGAGAATTGGACCGACGAAGATATGAACAAGGTAATGAAAATAATTATTTAAACTTTAATACTTTTTTAATTGATAGAAACATTATTTATTATCATACATAATTTTATTTAGATGTATTCACTGTAAAAAGAAGACTCAGGAATTACAGAAGAGAAATGGGTCACAAACGTTTAAAACAGGGTGTCGAAGAGATGGGATTAAAAACAGTTTCTGGTAGAGTTGTATTAACAGCTATTGGAATGTAAGTTTTATTAAAGATAATTTTTTATATACTTAATTATAATGTGTTTAATATATATATATTTTTATTATAGTAATGGCTGTAACTTCCTGTTCAAACTCTGTGCTTGGCTGTATACAGGATCCCATAGCCTTTTCTCTGAATGCATACACTCTTTAGCCGATACTGTAAATCAACTGATTCTTGCTTATGGAATACATAAGTCTGTACAAGTAAGTATAAAAAAGCAAATTTAGTTATGATGCAATGTGAATTTAAGGAATAAATTTATAGCATTTGAATATAATTTAAAATTAATGATGAATAATCACTGTATTAAAATCTATGAATTATGCATGTTTCAATGTTATTTATTCATTTAAAATGTATATGTAATTGTGTGTTTATGAATAATTTTGTAGAATAAGATAGAAGTAGCTGGCAATAAATTTTTAATTTTATTATTTAATATTTTATAAAGATAAGAATAAGCATTTATGGTATTATATATGAAGCTTAAATACTTTTGAACCCTCAAATAAACCTTTTTGACAAATATTCAGACATCATAATTGAATGGTTTAGAATAAATTAATTGTGTGTACAATTTGTAAAAATTAATTACAATTTACTTTACATTTTAACATATTAAGTATAATGAAATGAAGCTGTTAGTGTGTAAGAAAATTTAAAGAGAAATAATTTGTTATTATATTTCATTATTACATATATACTGCTTGAACTGTTATTTTCGGAGCTAGTATCACTAATATTGTCATCATGAGTCCTAAGAAAATTTAACAAATCATAACCCTTTTTCACAATACACTCACTATGTTTAGTTGTTATATTTCTCAACTCTTAAAAGCCATCATTGTAATTGAATGTTCATTTATATCAAATATTTTTATTTTATACTAGCTTTTAGCCCGCATCTTCGCGCGCGTGAAGTTCGGTTAAATCGCATTTCCAAGAGAACTTTCCAAAAGTCTGGGATAAAAACTATCCTATGTTCTTCTCAAGATCAACTCTATCAACCTGTAGCAAATTTCATTAAAATCAGTTCAGCGGCTTAGGCGTGAAAGCGTAACAGACAGACAGACACAGTTACTTTCGCATTTATAATATTAGTAGGGATAAATGTAAAATTACATGATACTACACAATTTCTTTATCCTATTATAATATGATTGTCTGGAATACTGCTATGAAGCAATAAGATATTTTGTATGCTTCATGTTATAAGAAACATTTTTATTATTATTTATAATGTTATTTTCTATTACATTATTGTGATTTATATTTTCAGATAGCCGATCCTGACCATCCCTATGGTTATACCAACATGAGGTATGTTTCTTCATTAATATCTGGCGTTGGTATATTCTGTGTTGGATGCGGCCTCTCATTCTATCACGGAGTAACCGGTATACTTGATCCACAGCCCCTACATGACTTCTATTGGGCAAGTTATACAATTTTTTGTGTTTTATATGAATTTTATTGAAAGAATTAAATTAGTTTTAATTTTAGGCGTACTTCGTGCTCGGTGGAGCTGTTGTGTCTGAAGGTGCGACACTTATGGTGGCTTTGAATGCGATTCGAAAAGGAGCTAAAGAAGCTCATATGAGTTTGTACGAATATGGTGAGTTGGAAATGTTATGGTGATCAAAGTAATAAGATATTTGCGTTGTTCTTGAATCTAACTCATGTCAACTATGAAAATAGTTCAGGGGTTTCAGTTTTGCTACAAGGGTTTTACCTATCTTATAGTACTTGTACCTAGACATAATATTATATGCTCATCACCAACTTTTTTTCTACTCACTCGCTCATTTTAGAACTAGTTGCGTAGAGTTTGTATCATATTTACATATTTCCCTTTCTGCATACTTATAAAAAGTCGTTTTTGATTGAATTTCATGCTGTTTTTATAATGACTATAACAACTTAAAGACACAAAATTTTTCAACTTGCTCGCAACGTGGAGACCAAGTTATTTTTATCCCGCACTCAGTAGAACAATTCATAAAGAAGTCCTATTTATGATTCCAGTGATGCGAAGTTCAGATCCTTCAGTGAATGTGGTACTTTTCGAGGACACAGCGGCGGTTGCGGGCGTGGTTGTCGCTGGTACTTGTATGGCCATCGCACAATATACAGGCAGCCCGCTGCCGGACGCTATCGGCTGTATATTAGTGGGAACACTGCTTGGTGGAGTCGCTTCTTTCATTATACTGAGCAACGTTGGAGCTCTGGTCGGCAGGTCTGTGGGGCACTGTGTTGTGTTTCTATATTATCTTGTTTCTACGGCAGGTCTGTGGGGCACTCTGTATATGTATGTATATATACAACTTCATGAGACGAAACCTCTTAGCATTCATTGTGTGGGTGTCGGGTCCATCATTGCAGTGAGAGGAGCTTCAACAGTGACTGCGACTTGTGACCCAGGTGTAGGTTTAAGGGCATATCTAACGCGTTAAACGCTCACTTTCACTGTCCAAGCTCCTCTCTCTATCTAATCAATATTACAAAAAAATAATGTACTTAATTGAGATCATGTTTATTAATGAAACTTGATATCATAGTAATGGAATTATAATTTGAAATTGTGTTTAATGAATGGATTATTGTCTATCTTCTAATAAATGAGGAACTTTATTTGTTTCAGATCAATCCCACAAGAGCAGTTAGATGAAATCAATAGTGTTCTTGAAAGAGATTTCATGATAAGAGCCATTCATGATGTTAAGGGTATAGATATAGGAAGTAATCTTATTAGATATAAGGTTTGTTAAACAAAAAATATATTAATATTTAATTATGGTTACAATTGTAACATGCAATTTAATGTTTTAGGCTGAAGTAGATTTTGATGGTAGAGCACTCACCAGATCCTATTTGGAGAAGCACGACTTGAATGTATTATTAGAGGTAATATAGAAATTTAACTAGCAATTACATAATGAGATCTAAGAATTCTCAAGTGTTATTCATTTAAATGAAACTAATATTTTTCGGATTATACTACGCGACTTTATTTTCGTCTGCCCGTGATCACGGTTGCTGAAAAATAGCAGAAACGTCAGGAGTATGTAGTTTTTTATAAAAATAAAGTCGCGTAGTATAATCCGATAAATATTAGTTTCATTTAAATAGCAATTACATGTTCAGATATTTTTTTAATACATATTTTTCTAACAAACGTATGTTTCTTCAGGATATAAAGAAAATAGAAACGATAGATCATGTGGAAGCATTCCTCCTGAAACATGGAGAAAACATAGTTGACATGCTCGGAGGTGAAATTGATAGGATAGAATTAAAATTACGGGTAAGAATTATAGTTTAGTAGCTGTCCGCCCGCAGCTTCGCTCGCATAGAGTTCCGTTATATCGGTTTTCAAGAGAACCTTTCAAAAGTCTGGGATAAAAACTATCCTATGTTCTTTCTCAAGGTCAACTTTATCTCTGTACGAATTTCATTACAATCAGTTCAGTGGTTTAGGCATGAAAGCGTAACAGACAGACATACGGACAGTTACTTGCGCATTTATAACATTAGTAGGGATTCTAATGATGTCACAATAACCAGACTCTTCTTCCACTGTCCCAAAAACAAGACACTTATTCAGTTGCCCGTATATTATTTTGTGACAATTATTACTAATAATTTATAATATTCACTATATAAAATTTCAATATTTTATTTTTCAGAAAAAGTTTCCACAAATACGTCACTGCGATCTCGAAATTCTTTAAGCTTCAAGTCTTTGTTTGCATCTATATAAACTTAGGCATAGACAGTATAGTTTATTAACTGTAATTGTTACCAGTTCAAAGATCATATATAGTTATGTGATTTAAAACAACATAAAGGGTAAATACTATCTTCAAATATTATTAATCTCATAAGATGAATATGGATTAATGGAAATTTATTTATAAGTAAAAAAAATGTAATTCTAATATTTCCGCAAGTAAATTTTATGAATTCTTTTTTTTGCCCTGTCACCATATAGCTTCTTGTCGAAAAACTAATAAATTTAAAGATTATAAAACCTAATATTTAAAATGCATAATATAGTTCAGCTTTATGTATTGGTAAATATATAAACAGTTTGATGGAAATGTTAAACATTAATCCTAATATATTGTTAGACAATAACTACATAACCATATTATTACTGTAAAACCAAATTATAGACATGGGCTTTAAGATGTAAACATTTCTCGAACCTATATTTGCATTGTTATTCTCTGTGATTTATTTGTATATAGCTTTACAGAGTTAAGTGTAATTAAGCCATAAATCTTGTTTATCCATTAGAAATTTAAATAAAAAATAACACTAGGTATATTTGTTTTAATTATAATTAGTGAAATAAAAAAAATAGTTTATTAAATCATAAATTTAATTCATACAAAATATATTATTCAAGATTGTGTCAATACTAAAATGAAGGCAGATGGCGTTAGTGTACTATAAAAAATGTAAGAGCATTTATTTTATTATGAATATCGGTAATTCCATACTTTTAAATATACTTACACATAAATTAGTAAAATAAACATTTAAATCATCATTCGATACACAACCAAACCAGTCTTACCACATTTGAATAAATGCTGCAAGTGTTGAACTGACTTAGGAAATGTCTTAGAGGGCATATTTTATGTATTAGATATATTTATTTAACTCTAAATAAATTATTGACAAGCAAGGATCATATAATAAACGCCCTTGGGAGACAATGCTTTAACATATTAGTGACAAAACTAGCGTCTCGACATTAAAAAAAGAAAAAAACTGGAAATGCTATCACAGTGTTATTATATTTTGAGCATAACCTAGCCCATACACCAATTCCACAGCTCCTAAATGCAAAGGTATGAACAATTAATCATATAGATGGTTTCGTTTGTGGCAAACATAGATTATAATGGGCAGTTTTGTTCCAAAAGTCTGAATTCTTCCAACCGCACCAGCCTTTGCTTATAACAGTGTTTATATCATCTACACCTGTATAATGTGGGTCCAAGATGAGGTATCTCGTTTCATTTGTTATATTGTTGTATTCCACACCAATAATCGTATGCGCTAATACTCCTCCGCCTGTAATCATTTAGTACTATATTAGTATATAATATACAAGTTATTTGCTACTAGGTAACCAAGTTATAACAAATTTAAACAATCGCTTTTTTTATAATGAGATCTAAGATTTTTGCGAGTACTCATTTAAATGAAAATAATATGGGGCAGACGAGATGTGAGACTCAATACCCATCTCATCTGCCCGTGATCAAGGTTGCTGTAAAGTAACCGAAAAGTCGGGAGTATGTAGTTCATAGTCAAAAATAAAAAAAACCGCATAGTAAATCCGAAAATATTAGTTTAATTTCTCTTTTTTTTATTTATTCTTACACGGTTAGTATTTTATGTACTCCAAAGAGAAAAGTACGTGTTTAAGTAAAGTTAAACTACAGGAAGACAAGAACAAATTGTAAAGTTTTTAAGTACATGTTTGAGAAGTAGTTTTAACATTTTTTCAATGTAGCTGATTTTTCTTAAAGGAGTTATTTGGTAGGGAAAAAAAGGGTAGAGTGACAGACATAACATTTCGCGTATACAATATAAACTACGCCTACTACCCGCTTTCCCCTTGGTATCCTGGGAAGAAACTTCCATATATTGCTAGTATTTATTTTAATTTATATATATACAGAATATTATCTCACCAATCATGATAGGACTTCCATGTTTCTCAAAATGATGAACAAGCTCTGGGGTGTAATTGAGCAATTCTGATCCCGTGTTAGCAAAAATAATCCTAGATTGTACACCTAAAAGGGTCTCCAAACAAAACATTACTTCTGTAGAACCTATCCATTGCTTTGAACCCAAAAATGATGTAGGCTTATCACCGATATTAACAAGGCACTGTTGGATTTCTCTATGTGTGGGTACTTCTACTGATGTGTAACCTTGGAACCTATAAAATAATAAAAAAAATAATAATATAAAATTAAATGCTTTTCAAGTTCATGTAAATAATATTTTATGAGATGAGAGTTAACATAAAAAAATTGGAATCATATATCGAAACCGACCTATCCTACTAATATTATAATTGCGAAAGTTTGTGAGTGTGTGTGTATGTTTGTTACTTCTTCACGCTCAAATGGTTGAACCGATTTTGATAAAATTTTGTATACAGGAAGCTGACGTCCAGGAATAACATATAGGCTACTTTACATCCCGGAAATCTGCGGGGCGCAGCTAGTGTAATAATAATTTTCACTACAGAATTGTATTAAAACTTAGATCTTACCTAAACCAAGAAAATATAGTCTGCATTGAACGATATGCACAGCCCCAGCCGTCATCGTTGAAGTTATCTTGCATGTAATGATAGTAAATATATCTTCCTCTGACCAATGCTACTCGAACATCAGGCTTCAATGAATGTACAGTTATCGCTTCATGTGGATTAACAAGCTTACTTATAATGAAATTGTAAGCATTTCCTCTTCTAAATATAGGCCTTTGTACAGACAAACCCAGTTGCTCGTGGAGTATGCGCCTTTCTTTTTCTGAAATTTTTGAAAAATTTCTTTACTTACTGTATAATAATCATAATAATTATATACTAGAACTCTATGTATGGTAAAAAGTATGTAGGTTTAGACACCGTAAATTTTCAATAATTAATAAATAGCATATTATCAATTTTAATAATAAAGATATTATATAAAAACTTTGCATATCTCGACAATCTTTGTATCCAATTACATTTACAGTACAAATATGTATAATTAAATCATTAATAGATATTTGACCCTTCATACTTATAAATTATTTATGGTACTTTACTTAAATGTATTTGATATTTACCCATGCTTTCATCAGGAATATCCTTTGGCACGACCCTGGTGATAAAGTGTCCCAGTTCTTGGGGCAAATAATGGAATGTTTCCGGCAGACGTAAACCAGCCCCATCACCAATACCTTCTTGACCTAAAAAACAATAAAAATACCCTTTATTGTTACACACATCAGCAATTTGGTAAAAGTTTTAATTCAGGATTCTTCAAAATTGATAATTAAAAATATTTATCCATAATAATTTTGATTAACAGAATATTTCTTAGAACCATTCTGACTAAATGAAAGGACAAAAGACTAAAAATTGGCATATTAAGATGGCTTTTTAAAAGCTCTATTAACACAAGGTGCCATAGGCACAAGAAACTGAGATAATTCTTTGTTCTCTATTGATATATATACCAATGTTGAAAATATGACATGCAAAGATTTATATGTACATAAAAAAACTGGACCATTTGTTTAGTTGATCATACAAAAGTCGTGGTGTGGGTGTTGAAATAGTAACAATACTCAATTAATAATATTTTGAAGTCTTCAATTTTAATAAATGTTAAAGATTTTGTCTGAACAACTGCGCTCTTTACTCTAACATTCATAAAAATCTTGTGTAAAAAAGATACACTAATTTCTTAAGTATCTATAACCATACTAGTAAACCCGGCGAACTCCGTTTCGCCACCAGAAGTTTTTGTGAAGAATTTTTTTTTGTTTTATATTTGAAAAGGAAATTTTTTATTTCATTTCACAACAGTAATAAATTCATTTCGAGTACAAAAATTAGTGTTATTTAGTTGAACTTCTCTAAATAAATGAAAGTGAACCAACGTAGGTACCGAATCGAAGCGTTATATGTGTCCGCAAATTATTCGTTTCATTGAAGTGCTCCCTTGTAAACCACATTTTTTGTTTTTTGGTCTAAGGTTAACACAAATAAAGCGGATGGTTTCCCAACTCGTGAACACGCATAATATAACTTTCCATGTGAAAAACAATGATTTTCTAAATTTACCCCGCAAATACTAAATGGTTTTAAGAGTTTAAACTACTAACACAATACGGGTTTGTCACATGAAATTAACTGAGCAGAGAACAATGAGTAGCTGTCAAACAATGTATCATGCACCGGCGCCATATACTTGAAAGTTGAAATATTGATTTGTAGTACATGTTATGTATCAGAGATAGCGCTGTATGCGAAAAAAGATTTTCCCGCTTTTCTGTTGAAATTTTTCCTGAAATTTTTTGTTATAAACCTCACGGAGCCCGAGACCTTTCCAACGAATGCAAAACCGTGGAAATCGGTTCGATCGTTCTGGGGTTATAGCGTCAGGATGGAAAACCGGACTTATTTATAATAGTTAGATTATTGAGAAATGGCTTACTTACCTAATTGTTCTAACAGAACACTTTCTAATAGTTTTAGAGAGCGACAAGTAGCTTCAACTAACACATTGTAAAGTTCTGATAATTTAGTATTTCTATGTACAAGAGCCAATGTGTCCACTCTTAGAGGCATACTTATACAAAATGCAGCTGAAAAATATAAAATAATATGATTAACAATTTATTCCAGGCAAAATTGGTATAGAGGAAAAACAAAACACATCATGATTAAATACATGAAATGATTCAAAAATCACCCATTTGAACTGAAGATTACTCAACAATTGTGTGTTATTTCTAGATTCTGAGCTATGAATAATGTTTTTATAGTAATGAATAATGATGAATGATTTTTTTGTCATTATATAACTATTTTAAGCTATAAGTTTTAATGATATCTTATAGCTATTAAAATTTTCAAAAATAGTCCAGGACTTACGTTTTCTCTGTGTAGTCATCATTTTAACAGCTGTTTTAACTAATTTGTCCGAAAACATATCCTTTGTAGCCTTCATAACTAAATTAACTGACATTATTTCCTAAAACATATAAAGACACATTTAATATTATATATACATATTCTTAAATACCAATTCGCAGAGAAAAAATACAAGTAAAATTAAAGAAAATATAGAAACAGGCAAAACAAAAGGCATTCTTACAGCCTATTGCAAATTAAGTAATTTTTCTTCATATTAAAAGTAACACAAGATGGCTACAATTATTATAAATGCGAAAGTAACTCTGTCTGTCTGTTATGCTTACACACCTAAACCACTGAACTGATTTTAATGAAATTTGGTACAGAGATAGGAGTTGACCTTGAGAAAGAACATAGGATAGTTTTTATCCCAGACTTTTGAAAGGTTCTCTTGGAAACACGATATAACCGAACTCCACACGGGCGAAGCTGCGGGCGGAAAGCTAGTATCTTATAAAAGGTTATAACAAAGATTCATAATAAATAACAAAATTTTAATATATATGCTCAATATACTAACAGCTTTGTTTATAACATTCTTCTTCTTCTTAGAGGACTGTTCAGGATTCAAAGAGTCAATCAACTCTCCGATATCAGTTTCAACACTAGTACCTGTGACTCCAACATCAGAGTCTACTCCAAATAAATATACTGATGATCCATCTATGTGGAAAGACACTTGCCCTGATGCTATCTGTAAATTATAATTTAAATAATACTTATTACTATTATTATTGTTATTAATATACACATTGTAGGTTTTACAGTATAAATAATACATATTGTATTACTATTATTAATAGGAATATACACTATTGTAGGATTAGGTATTTTTTTGAGTCCAAGGTAAATTTACTCTAAATTGTAAAGTTATAGTAATTTTTTATTGCATAATCTCTTGATTACAGGTTTAAAATGATATCACAAATTCCACTAAATAAACTAAAAGTTAAACTTATTTTACCTTCTTTCTCTTATTTTGCATAATATTTTTCACACCGGTCATAGTGGCTTCACATGTTAACGGTAAAATTGTGTTCAGTCGGACATAAGTGAACTGTTTCCAAAGATCTTCTGGTTGAAGAATTTCAAATGGTGTTTCTTCAAATTTATCATGTACAAGAAAATGTGCCTTTATATCTTTCTCATTATTTATAATGAGAAACAGAGGATTATCAGTTATATCCACATTCTAAGGAAGAAACCAATTATTAATTTTATTTAAGTCTTTCTAACATCTATAAACAAATGTTTATATTTATTAATTGTACCTGGAGTATCTCCTTAGGTTTCGATTCTATAGATAGTGAACCAGTGAACTTCACAACACCGCACAACTCAATTTCAGCAGGTAAATGAAGAAGGAGTTGCCGATATGTGTTTTTTTCATCTTCAAAAAACTCTAAACTCAGTCCAACAACAAGCAATGTACTGTCGTACATGAGGCCGTAAAGGCATCCTGTAGTTTCGTTCGTGTCGATCTTGGATAATCTCTAAAAATATAATAATTTATCAAGTCATAAATATTATTTTTTTCAATTTATAAAGATGAATGCACGCACTGCAGTGATGACGTATAGAATTTCTATAAATGGTCACAGAAATTAAGATATATTATAAGTGACTTTTTTTCTATTATTCACTCTTAAAAGCGGAATGCAAAACATAATTATTAAATAAAAATATAAAGTTTTACCTCGATAACATATTTTGATATTTTGAGACGTGGTGACATTTTGAGTTAATGTTACCAATTTCTGAGCAGTTAAAATTAATGTCAAAAAGAAAATTATCTACTTGTGTTGCTACTTACTATTCTACCTTCCATCTTTAAGTTTCAAAATACGTATAAATCATAAATATTTTTAAACTGTGTTTTATTAATATAATTTTTTGTACAATATATGTATATAATTTTTTTAACATAAAAATAAAAAATTACTTTGAAAGTTTGGTAATATTTTTATCAAAACCTTTTAGCACTATCCAAGTTTCTATGTTTAATAACAAACATTTTTAACCATAAAATATATTTATAGCGGCGGTTTCTAGTCCGTAATGGGCCACATAATGGGATCTAGGACTTTCGGGAGTTGTATTGATTTAAATGAAACTAATATTTTTCGGATATACTACGCAGTTTATTTTTGTGAAAAACTACATACTCCGACGTTTCGGCTACTTTTCAGTAGCTATGATCACGTTGGGTGTATATAGTTTAGTAGTATATCCGAAAAATATTAGATTAATTTAAATATATTTATAGTATTCAAAAACTGTCATTTAATAAATTAATAAGAAAATATCTAAACCTTATCTATTTTCTGTTAATGAAACATCTCAGTTATGTTTTTAACTTCTTGAGTATAATTTATAGCATTATCCATCTGTAGCTTTATAAAACACTTATAATGTTATATTTTTACATTAGAAACTTTCAATAATGTACCAAACCATTTTATTCACTATACAAAACAATTGATAGCTAGTTTTATACAAGACTTTGATCTATCTTTATATTTAGGTAAAAATAAAACAGAATATTCAATATAACATTTTAATCATGATTTATTTTCTATACAGATATTTATGACCTTTTCAACTAGTTTGCTCTTTTGCTTTGCAAGTGCTAAAGTTTCTTTTTCATTTTCCGTTGATAGATTACTGCCACCAAATTTAAATACACCACACAGTTGTCCTTTATTCCAACAAGCTATAAGGTTTGCACCGAGACCACCACACATCTCCTCCTCATATGCTGTCGGATCTGTTAATATCACGCTTCTGTAATAATACAAATTAATTAAGATATTTCTTTAGAGAATTTAATATTTTGTATGTCTATAGTTTGAAATACCTTGATAACTGTTGGTAAACAGCGAAACTTGTAGCAATCGGTAATCCATTTACAGGTAAAGGTGTTTTAATGGTTGTATCAACTTTTATTTCTTCCGTTTCAACATCAAAAGACACAGATGGTAGTAACACTAAAATTATTGAAAATTATAATAAAATACAATTTTTGTATGTGGTAAAGTCATGAACTTGAACAACACTAAAATTAAAGATATCTAAGACTTTTGCAAGTATTACAAAACTGAAAATAAAGAAAGAAAAATATATCATACATGTTTTGAGGCTGCTCATGAGTGTTATCAAGCAGGCATCAACAACACTGCCGTCATAATCCATGCAAACCATATCACAATATAAAACCCATGAAAGTTTGTCCGGCACTATACATAGATCTTTCAAATTTATACATTTAGAGTTTGTAACTATATCTGATACAATATTGCTGATGACTTGAGCATGGTCCGAGGGAGGTCCGGGACGGAATTTCGATGAACATAATGGAAGTAACTCGACATTTGTTACTAAAAAGCCTACATCAGGTTCCTCTGCTTTAGGTTTTGCTAATTCCTACAAAGAGCATACTAAAGTGAATTACAGCAAATAGAGTATAAAGATAACGTAAAATTTATCGTCAAGTCATTTAAAAGATTCGAGTACAAACCAATTTTATGCCACAAACAACGGTGGTATTTCCACATTTTACGACTGCTGATGCATCGGCTGTCTTAATAGCATTAACATTAAGTTTTATATCACGTTGGTCATTGAATTTTCTACCATCTGGACGAATATCTCGGGAGATATAGTCATTAAAAAATTTACCTGGATGTATAAGTCTGAAATTAAGAGTTTTTAACATAAATTGAGAAAAATATTACAATATTATCATACTTGTATATGTTTGTCAAAACATACTTATATATTTCTGACATTTTAATACTAGTTTATGCAAATATTCTTAAAACAAATGGGAACTTATTTTGATTCTCTTCATCTAGTAATTTCAAAACAACGTGTTTAATGTTTTGATAAATTTGACAGCTATTGTCATTTTAGTCTCTACTGAGGAAACAGACAATAAAACAAAATTTACCTTCGAAAAAAATTGTAACAGTTGTACCGGTATGAGTATTCGAAGTCATTGAAGGAAAAGAAGAATTCTGCTGAAATGACACAGCTTTTACGAGTTTATCGTTTCCAGAACTTTACAATTTAAATCATGAATTTTAAAACGAAAATATTTTCCTTAACATAAAATATTTATATGTTACATCTGAAAACAATACAATTCTCGTGAGGGGAAAATCTTTGGCAGAACTTACAAATTTAGTAACCATCAGAAAATTACCATAATATAAGATACATAAAATATTATAAATTTGCATCCCCTTCTGGACGTTACCATTTGGGCGAAATATATACATTTTATTTCATTGTGATGTTACTTATTTAGGGTAACTCAAACTAAATCGATATTCCAACCTACACATTAGCTGGTAAAGAGGTCTTCTAATATTTCGTAGTAACAATCATATTGGTGACTATGAGCAAGAAGTCCACTTCGAATTAATAATAATTTCTTTAGTTTGTTTTTCATAATATTGGTGTTTTATTAAATTTAAGTGCTTAACAAGTTTTTAGTAAATTTTCTGCAATTATATATAAAAACGAAATAAAAATAAAATCTGTAAATTAATATTATTGGTGGCTTTTAAGACAGTAAAAATTGACAGTTGACATTTGACAAGCGACAACTCTTTTTGATTCGGCAAGTGTTAGCTGAGGTGTGTTATGTTTTAAATCCTGAAAAATCTATATTTAAACAGTGATTTATTTGGAATATTCGATTAAATTAAAGTGCTTCGATATATTAAAAATGTGGGAAAATATTTATTTTGACCATTTAGTTTATTATTCCAGATCGCAATGGCTAAACCTAAAGGAGAGAGAAAAGGTAAATCCGCGATCAATGAAGTCGTGACGCGGGAATACACTGTTAATTTACACAAACGGCTACATGGCGTTGGTTTTAAGAAACGCGCTCCCCGTGCTATCAAAGAAATCCGTAAATTCGCCGAAAAACAAATGGGTACCCCAGACGTTCGTGTTGACACCAGGTTAAACAAATTCCTGTGGTCCAAGGGTGTAAGGTAAATAGACGTATCATTATTTCTAACTATTTTATTATATAATTGTTGTTGTGTTATTTTAAAGTTTTAAATTTAAAACAAAAGATCCAAACTTCAGTTAACCTAAAAAATACATTATTTTTAGTGATTTCTAGGACTGTGCTCTCCTGTTATACATATATGATAAATGCGGAGATAAACGACTCTTTTTTAAAAATTGTCTGCTGCTTCTGTTAAAACAACTTGTAGATTTATTTCTTGTGATGAAGTTCAGAAGAGCTGAATGAACTTTGTTGAATTTTAGTATATGACTAAAAAAACTTCCTCTGCAATGTAATGTGCTGTAAATTTATTCCACAAATTGGTATGAAAAGATGAAAATTAGAAAACACTTAACCTTTTATCATTTTATATATCAATTTCTTGCAAACATTATATGAGTGAGTGTCTCAAATTAGAAATATAAATCAAGCACAAGCATACTCATGGTTTAATTTGCTGTTATTTAATAGTGTAATTAAGAATATTATGAATGGATTTGGAAAAATTTTGGAAATTGTTTATATATTTTTCACATTCATATAACAACTATAGATGTAGACGGATTCATATATATATATATATCTTTATGAATATATATATATATATATATATATATATATATATATATATATATATATATATCTTTATGAATCCGTCTATATATATATATATATATATTAGTAATTTTTCTTAAATTCCCACAACAGTATTGGTACTCAGTTCATAGTTATAAATCGGTAGGCACTTTATGAAGATTGTGTTCATTCCACTAAAATGTGATTACAAGTTTAATGTTAATACAATTTTATAAAACACTTAGTATATCATACTTAATCAACTTTGGCAGTCTTAATTATGAATAAAAATGTAAGTTTACAATCTTGATGTTGGCTTAAGTGGAGTTGTAAGGCAGTGACTTTCTATAAATAGGTTGAAGTCTTACTTAGGGACACTATATTTTTAAATTAAGTGTTAAATAATTAATGCATATTTTTAATTTCAGGAATGTTCCCTTCAGAGTGCGTGTAAGGCTCTCCCGCAGACGTAATGACGACGAGGACTCGGCACACAAGCTGTTCACCCTAGTGACATATGTACCCGTTGCATCCATCAAGGGCTTGCAAACTGAGAACGTTGATGCTAGCCAAGAATAAACATTAAGTTAAGCTTACTCGCTGTTTTAATTGACCATCTCTATACTATCATAAGAAATAACTTAATAACCTATGGTAATGTCAATAATACTTATATTAAGAATATAATAATTTGAGCTAAAATACTTTCAGTAGTTTGTGTGTACAAAAGTATTATGGGGATTTTGGATTACTTAATGAATCTATTAATTAATGAATCTGATCTTGCATATAAAATAATATTTTGTAATTTAATTTCTCTTAATACCATAATAGCAAAGGAATACTGATAATGGTATATGTATGATTGAGATTATAAATATATAGAAGTTTTCAGAGCAATTGGGCTACAAATACACATTTAATACATGTAAAATTGGTAAGATTCAAATGTGGTTGTTCATGTGTTGAGTATTTAATGAACATAAAAAGTGTGGTAACAAAAGGATTCTGAACAATTGGAAGGCAAGCGTGATGTTGTGATAGGTCTTCATGAGGTGGAAAATAGTAGAGAGAATTTATGTAAATGTTGAAGTAGACATATCAAAAGTATGTAATGTTAGTAATAATTATTTACAATGATTTAAATATTTGTCTACTTCACAATTCTAAGCTTCACATTATTTATATTCTTATATTTATTGGGAATTCTTATGATAGTCAACTATCGCCATTTAAATTCGTTTTAATAGTGTAAATTAATGCTAATAATCTTTCTATACAGTAATTTAAATGTCTAAATATTTAACAATTGTTTTTATAATTTATAATAATTAGAGCCTTAGCATGTTTTACACAATGTTAAGTGTTTTATTATTTAATAGAAACTCTTATGAGGGGAACTAGCGCCCAATATTATAAACCACCCTCACCTAAATGTAAGTGGAAGTGCTGCCCAAATATTTCTAACATTGACTAAACTAAAGTATTTCCTTTGTATTAATTAATCAACTGTTAATAAATTAATCCTCTGTTAATAAATTAATCAACTGTTAATAAATTAATCCACTGTTAATAAATTAATCCACTGTTAATAAATTAATCCTCTGTTAATAAATTAATCAACTGTTAATAAATTAATCCACTGTTAATAAATTAATCCACTGTTAATAAATTAATCCTCTGTTAATAAATTAATCAACTGTTAATAAATTAATCAACTGTTAGTAAATCCACTGTTAATAAATTAATCCACTGTTAATAAATTAATCAACTGTTAATAAATTAATCCACTGTTAATAAATTAATCAACTGTTAATAAATTAATCAACTGTTAGTAAATCCACTGTTAATAAATTAATCAACTGTTAATAAATTAATCAACTGTTAATAAATGAATTAACTGTTAGTAAATCCACTGTTAATAAATTAATCAACTGTTAGTAAATCCACTGTCAATAAATTAATCAACTGTTAGTAAATCCACTGTTAATAAATTAATCAACTGTTAATAAATTAATCAACTGTAATAAATTAATCCTCTGTTAATAAATTAATCAACTGTTAATAAATTAATCAACTGTTAATAAATTAAACAACTGTTAATAAATTAATCAACTGTTAGTAAATCCACTGTTAATAAATTAATCAGCTGTTAATAAATGAATTAACTGTTAGTAAATCCACTGTTAATAAATTAATCAACTGTTAGTAAATCCACTGTCAATAAATTAATCAACTGTTAGTAAATCCACTGTTAATAAATTAATCAACTGTTAATAAATTAATCCACTGTTAATAAATTAATCCTCTGTTAATAAATTAATCAACTGTTAATAAATTAATCCACTGTTAATAAATTAATCCTCTGTTAATAAATTAATCAACTGTTAATAAATTAATCAACTGTTAATAAATTAATCAACTGTTAGTAAATCCACTGTTAATAAATTAATCCACTGTTAGTAAATCCACTGTTAATAAATTAATCAACTGTTAGTAAATCCACTGTTAATAAATTAATCAACTGTTAATAAATTAATCCACTCTTAATAAATTAATCAACTGTTAGTAAATCCACTGTTAATAAATTAATCCACTGTTAATAAATTAATCAACTGTTAATAAATTAATCAACTGTTAGTAAATCCACTGTCAATAAATTAATCAACTGTTAGTAAATCCACTGTTAATAAATTAATCAACTGTTAATAAATTAATCAACTGTTAATAAATTAATCAACTGTTAATAAATAAATCCTCTGTTAATAAATTAATCAACTGTTAATAAATTAATCAACTGTTAATAAATTAAACAACTGTTAATAAATTAATCAACTGTTAGTAAATCCACTGTTAATAAATTAATCAACTGTTAATAAATTAATCAACTGTTAATAAATGAATTAACTGTTAGTAAATCCACTGTTAATAAATTAATCAACTGTTAGTAAATCCACTGTCAATAAATTAATCAACTGTTAGTAAATCCACTGTTAATAAATTAATCAACTGTTAATAAATTAATCCACTGTTAATAAATTAATCAACTGTTAATAAATTAATCAACTGTTAGTAAATCCACTGTTAATAAATTAATCCTCTGTTAATAAATTAATCAACTGTTAATAAATTAATCCACTGTTAATAAATTAATCAACTGTTAATAAATTAATCCACTGTTAATAAATTAATCAACTGTTAGTAAATCCACTGTTAATAAATTAATCAACTGTTAATAAATTAATCCACTCTTAATAAATTAATCAACTGTTAGTAAATCCACTGTTAATAAATTAATCCACTGTTAATAACTTAATCAACTGTTAATAAATTAATCAACTGTTAGTAAATCCACTGTCAATAAATTAATCAACTGTTAGTAAATCCACTGTTAATAAATTAATCAACTGTTAATAAATTAATCAACTGTTAATAAATTAATCAACTGTTAATAAATAAATCCTCTGTTAATAAATTAATCAACTGTTAATAAATTAATCAACTGTTAATAAATTAAACAACTGTTAATAAAATAATCAACTGTTAGTAAATCCACTGTTAATAAATTAATCAACTGTTAGTAAATCCACTGTCAATAAATTAATCAACTGTTAGTAAATCCACTGTTAATAAATTAATCAACTGTTAATAAATTAATCCACTGTTAATAAATTAATCAACTGTTAATAAATTAATCAACTGTTAGTAAATCCACTGTTAATAAATTAATCCTCTGTTAATAAATTAATCAACTGTTAATAAATTAATCCACTGTTAATAAATTAATCAACTGTTCATAAATTAATCCACTGTTAATAAATTAATCCTCTGTTAATAAATTAATCAACGGTTAATTAATTAATCAACTGTTAATAAATTAATCTACTGTTAACAAATTAATCAACTGTTAATAAATTAATCAACTGTTAATAAATTAATCAACTGTTAGTAAATCCACTGTTAATAAATTAATCCACTGTTAGTAAATCCACTGTTAATAAATTAATCAACTGTTAGTAAATTAATCCACTGTTAGTAAATCCACTGTTAATAAATTAATCAACTGTTAATAAATTAATCCACTGTTAATAAATTAATCAACTGTTAATAAATTAATCCTCTGTGAATAAATTAATTCACTGTTTACTAATAAACTAATTAAAACCTATTCACTTGTTCTTAGAAGTTAGAAAGACAAATGACAATATTTAATAATAATAAAATGGCGAAAAAATTATATGAACAGTTTACCGACCAATCAGAGAGCCCTGTTTCATTAGTTAGTTGTCAAATCTAATGTCGAAAAAAAACGTTTGTAATAAAACAACTACTAATAAATTAAAAATTAATGAAAAAAACATTGTCCAGCGGACAAAATTGTGAATCTAGAGTCTTAAATGATATTTTTACCCTGAACAAAAGTTGTAGAGTGTAAAATTCTCTACAATTTTTGTTTCACTTTTATTTTCATACGATCAACCGTTTTTGAGGTAGAGCGCGGAGAGTGCGCACAGTCATATATAATATGTATATGGTCCAATGCAAGGTCAAGCGTGAGTTACGGTTATCAGTACATCGTATAAAGTCAATTATTTATTAAAATATTATATGTAATTATTATAAAACAATGCCCATTATTAATGTACTATTTGTTAATTGTTTATATTTTATAAAAATAAGTTACTTAAACAAGAAAACTACTCGGTACAAACATTATTTGAAAATGAAGTGCACATCTTGTTGGCTTTATATGATGCTCCAAAATCTGAGGACAACATTGATAATTTTCGCTTCACGCAATTCATTAAATTAACGAAACTAAATAAACCTGTACAATTGTCAACACTGCCTCCCACAAGTTTAGCAGCTCATCAACTTATAAATCGCGTTTGCTATCAGATTCAAACGTGGTTAGGGAATGACTTAGAACCTCAAAAAATGGGCTAGATGCTTGAAAATGGAATCCTGGAGCCCATAAGAACGTTATTACCTCCAGCACCATCCGACCTACTAAATATAATATTTTGCAATTGCAAAAATGGTTGTGGTTCCCGCTGTTGATGCAGAAAATCAATGCTATTATGTTGTTTAGCTTGTGGCCAGTGCAATAGACAAGCTTGCCTGAACGCTTCACTATATCTAAGTAATCCCGATGAAGAAAGCGCATACGATCCTGAAATTCTGGAAGGTTTGGAGATGAATATGACCGATAATAAGAATGATGACAACGAATTGAACGCTTTCGAGCGACAACAAGAAGAAGACGACGAAGATGAAGATAACTAGCATCTATTTACAATTTTATTATAATTAAAACCAATAAAAATTCTTTTAATATTTAAACTGACATTTTAACAAATGTATATATAATATGGCATATTTAATGATAAATAAAGATAAGCATAAAATATATTCCCTTATTGTCGTTTTAACTAATATTCCAGAAATAATATACTACGGTTAAATTATTGAAAATAAATAATTAAGTTATTTGTTTTAATTAAATATAAACAATTAACAAATAGTACATTAATAATGGGCATTGTTTTATAATAATTACATATAATATTTTAATAAAT